GGGTATGCATGTGTGGAACAAGGTCCGCTTAGGCACTTTTCCACACCTGCAGGACCCCTAAACCTGTTCTGGGGGTTTCCCCAACCTCTAGAGCAGATTTAGGAGTAGCAAGTGAGTGTTCGGGGGTGGGGGGGAGTTTGTCGCACAGGTGAACTTTGTTCCATGCATGCAACACTTTAGATGAATCCCACCTTTTGCCTCTATGTACCCCTTTGGTCTTTCAGTCCCAAGTCTCTTCCTCTGCATGATGGCACAACACGAAAGCTCCTGCACTGCTTGCTTAAACTTGTAGGATGCAAGTCTTTCATGTAAGCACCCCAATATATAACATATAGACATTTGCCATTTATAAAAGAATACTGCTTCATGTGGTAAATAAAATATAGTAAGTTGATATATTATGATACGGACTATTGAATGGGCACATTCTGGTTGGTGAAGTTTTTCATGGGTTATTGTGAGCCTAGCAATCCCTGGAGGGCCACAGGTTCTCTGTCCCTGAGTGATAGCAATGATTTTCTTAGAAGAGCCCAAATGAGGTTAAGCAGGACCTTTGGCTACATCTAGACACATATCCAATATCAGTATTCATAACTGGGAAGGCAGTCCAGGTCTTGGTCCAGAAGCTCTGAGGAATAAAGCTGTAAATCAGTAATAATGGTGCTGATAGCATGAAAGAAGGAACTTTAAATAATCAAACCTGGAAATGTGGAAGGTACTCATCTCAGTATTTTTGTTCCTTTTATCGTTTTTAAACAAGCTCTCAACGGTAATGCCACAAACTCAAAACTGGGATATTTAGTATCTTCTGGACTTTCCTCAGATTTTATGTTGGTGATTGCTTACAAACCTTTATGGGAGACTAGCTTCCTTTTTCTCCTGCCAACCTAGCAGTTCAAAAGCACGTCAAAAGTGCAAGTAGATAAACAGGTACCGCTCCGGTGGGAAGGTAAACGGCCTTTCTGTGCACTGCTCTGGTTCGCCAGAAGCAGCTTTAGTCATGCTGGCCACATGACCCGGAAGCTGTATGCCGGCTCCCTCGGCCAATAAAGCAAGATGAGCACCGCAACCCCAGAGTCGGCCACAACTGGACCTAATTGTCAGGGGTCCCTTTACCTTTTAGCTTCCTTTTACCAATTTTACTGGGGACAATACTGAAAACTATGGTGGCTTAGCTGCCCCTATGCTCTCTTTGCAAAGTGCCAGCCAGCCTGAGCACTGGCAGAGGTTGGTTCTGAGGCCTTTGGCTGCTGCCAGAGACTACTTAGTGTGTGCAGCTGACAGAGAATGGATTGGATGCATCTATCCAGTTTATATATTTAACATTTCTAATGGTGCAATGATGCCCAGAATGAAATTCAACAGTGCTGTCCTGAAGCATATTCGAGAGACCCCCGCAAGAATTCTATGCTGAGAGTTGTGAGTTATTTCCCTTCCAGAGCTACAATTCCCAGAGTTCCCTGTGAGTGTTAAATCACTCTGGAAATCATAGCACTGTGAGGGAAATAACTCTCACAACTCTCGGCACCCATAACAAACTACAGCTCCCAGAATTCTTTGGGAGAAGCCGTAACTGTTTAAAGTGGTATCCTAGTGCTTTAAATGTGTGGTGTAAATGGGACCCTCATGTCAGCCCAAGGACTGTGATCCCAAATAGCTATGCAGAGGAGGACCCAAGGAGGGGAAGGTGGCAAGTTTAGCACAGATGCGAAACCTCAGACAAATGCAGTTCTCTGGGCTTATCTGGCCTCCAGGACTCCAGACCCTCCAAGTGTCCCTATTTTCCAGGGACATCCCTGATTTAGAGAAGCCGTCTCAGTTTCTGATCCCGGAATGTCCCACTTTTCCTTAGGATGTCCCTATTTTCTTTGAAGAAATGTTGGAGGGTATGGAGATTTCCAACCCCCAAGCAGTACGAAGGCAATCCTGTATAGGGAAGTTTTAAAAATGTTTACTTTTTGTCTTTATATACGTTGGAAGCTGCCCAGAGTGGCTGGGGCAACCAAGTAAGATGTGTAGGGTGTAAATAGTAAAATGATCATCATGGAATGAGATGTCTCTATTTTCATCAGAGAAATGTTGGAGGATATGGGACTCTTCTCTAGTCCATGCCCTCCTCTAGGTCACACTGCTCTCTGGCCTTACTGTTCACTCTCCTCAGTCCTCATATCCTTTTGTTGGGCTGGAACTTTGCTAATACTTACTTTGCCTACATGAAGAGGGGTGTGTTGAAACCTCTGAACTGTGCATGGCTTGAATGTATCTTCCTATCCAAAGGAAAGAGTCATGTCTGTTGCTCCACCCCATAAAGCTTTTTTATTTAGAAGTGCAAGTTTATAGTGTGTGTATGTATGTATGTATGTGTGCGTGTGTGTGTGTGTGTGTGTGTGTGTGTGTGTGTGTATATATATATATATTTGCTTTCGTAGATTTTCACGGGTACAGGAATGCAGGTTTTGGTGTCCTCGGGTGTCTTCCCGTGTAAAAGTTGGGGTGTCTAGGCGACGTTTCGACGAGGTCTCACTCGTCATCTTCAGGCTGGTGCTTTCGGCTTCTTGTTACTGGAACAGAGCAGGATCTCAGTGTTTGAGTTCCTATAAATACTGTTGAGGAGGTGTGGTGTATAGCCTCCAATGTTCTGGGCAGAGAGGAACAGAGAGGCTCAGATATGTTGACGACACCTTTGTAATTTGGCCACACGGGAAGGAAAAACTAGATAGCTTCCTCACACATCTCAACAGCCTACACCCCAAAATACAATTCACTATGGAAATAGAAGCCAACAACCAACTTCCCTTCCTTGACGTCCTAATCTACAAAAAACCTGATGGCTCCCTAGGACACACTATCTACCGGAAAAAAACACACACCAACCGCTACTTACATGCACAATCACACCACCACCCTGCACAAATAAACTCCGTAGCCAAGACTCTCATCTCCAGAACCAAACGCCTGGCTGACAAAGACCACTTGACAACTGAGTTACAGAATCTCTCAAATGTGTTAATCGCCAATGGATACCAGCAAAACAGGGTTACGAAGCTAATCCAAAAAGAAACACCCCCCAAAAACCAAGACACAGAAGAAAACAATGGCATGGCCCTCCTTCCTTACATCAAGGGCACTACAGATAAAATTAGCAAAATCCTCCATAAACACAATATCAAAACAGCCTTTTGCACCAACCAAAAAATAGCCAATATCCTCAGAAACCCCAAGGATAGAATCCAGTTGGAAAACCAAGGGGTCTATGAAATACCCTGCAAAGTCTGCCCAGCCACGTACATTGGACAAACAAACAGACGAATAAATGCACGTATCGCAGAACACAAGAATGCCGTCAAAAAAGAAGAAAAAACTTCCTCTCTTTTCCAACACATGAAAGAAACAGGACACGAAATTAATTTTGCAGATTCCAAATTGCTCTTTAACATGGAACATCACCACAAGAGAATAATCATGGAAGCCATCGAGATAGAGAAACACCCTCACAACATGAACAAGCGTGACGACACATCCCGCTTGCCAGACATCTGGAAATTAGCCCTCCCCACAAAAACCGACACCAGATCCAGAGGCACACAGAACGCCATCACCAATCAACCACACCAGACCCAAACCCAGACCCTCTCCACAGATAAATTACAGACACCATCCAGTAGCCAAACCATGGTGGAACCTCCGGATACTGCACCCCCCTGCAATCCCTACACAGATCTGGCTGGCACAGGCCACAAAACCACAGCTCGCCCCTATACACGAAGCCAAGCCAGAGCCAAGTTCAAGCCAAGTTCAAGAGGTCAAGACACGAAGGCTTTAGCAACTAATCCACACCTAATGACCCACCCAAGTGGTACTCAGGATATCACTCAAGAAATCACTCCAGATATCCCTCCAGTAATTAAGGAACAAAAGAAGAAAAGGCACACTAGCCTGGGAACTTCCTCTCTGCCCAGAACATTGGAGGCTATACACCACACCTCCTCAACAGTATTTATAGGAACTCAAACACTGAGATCCTGCTCTGTTCCAGTAACAAGAAGCCGAAAGCACCAGCCTGAAGATGACGAGTGAGACCTCGTCGAAACGTCGCCTAGACACCCCAACTTTTACACGGGAAGACACCCGAGGACACCAAAACCTGCATATATATATATATATATATATATATATATACCAATGCTAAAATATCTGAAAGGTTCTTGTTGAAGGTAACTGGTCACAAAGAAGCAGAGGAAGTGCATAGACATGTTCACTACATTATTATGTTCAATTATTATGTTCAATACATTATTATATATTTAAAAAACCAAGGATATTGTGTGATCTATCTGGCTAGTGATGGGCAAGCTTTCCTCACCTTCCCTCAGTTTCCTTCCCGCTTTAAAATGGGCTTTTAAAGCTTCCCCCAAAATGTGTGGGTTATGGGCTCCCCCTTCTGCAAGTGCCCCCCCTTCTCAAGCACAAGACTTATTTGAGGTTTCGACTGTTGCAAAAATGCTGTGGTTAGATTGTTGATGTGGTCAGATAACGCTGGTGCTCATAAGCTTGCACTGGCTGCCCATATGCTACTGGGACCAGGTTCAAGGTTCTCATATTAATGTATAAGGCCCTTAACAACTTGGGTCCAGGATACCTGTGGGACTGCCTGATCCCTTATATCACCAAGGACTTTGAGGGAGTTAATGATCACCCATGGCGCCTATCCATGTTGCTTTGTGTCGAGCATCAAGGGTCCAATTTTGTGGAACTCTCTTCCAGTTGAAAAATATGCCTGATGACAAAGGGAAGTCCATCAACATCTGGAAGATAATAAGAGTCCTCATTCCTGCTATAGCTTATTGGTGTCCAACACGGTCAATTCTGTGATATAGGCTTCAAGTTTCATTCTTCACGCTCTAATTGTTTTACCCACTTTTGGTTTTATTACATGTAATTGATTCAATTGTTTATAAAGATCTAAAATTGTGGGCTGTTAAATCATCACTGGAAAAACGTTTGAGAAAAGGTAAACTGTTTATTCAACAGGATGAGTCCACACCCAACCAGTGGTTTGATCTACATGGCATCATCAGCATACATAACATAGGATCCAATCAGACACTCTAACTGAATGGCATTTTATCATACATTACAGAGACAATATCCATAAGAGGGGCGACAATCATTATACAGGGCAGCCAACCAGCAGTTTCCTAAGGTTTTCTGGCAAGAACAAAAAGCAGCCACTCAGAAGCAAATTGGATTCAGAAGGCCTATTGCCATACTGTGAAAACTGCAGCACTGCTAGGAAATTATATAGTCCAGGATTTACAAACAGAAAAAAAACAACCCTATCAGGTACTGTATTGTTTAGTCAAAGAGGGAGGAAAAGTGCATGGTCTTTATATCATTAAAAGGTCTTAAACATTTACATTGTTTGCTTATGACAGTTTCTGTACAGCAATAATATAAGGGTGGGTGCAATTGCTTTTAAGTCAGCACCGTTAACACGCATCACTTGGTTGAACAAAAGGAATACTGCCACCAAGCTACAAGGGGGTGAAGAAGAGAAGAGGCGACAACATCTACAGTCAGCCATCTCTGGGCGCAAGCTAAAGTAGCTGTGATTGAAGAAGAGCATTCTGATTTTATGGGGAGGATCAGAGGTCAATTCTATGATATTTTACTTGCTTTGCATTGGAAAACCCCCCCCCTCCATTTTAGAGTGCAGTATCCATCAGTACTGTGGCATTGAGACACTCTCCCATTATTTGCCCAGAGGCCAATAAAGAAAAAGGAACAGTTTTCATTGTTAGGAACATTTTGAAGTTGAGAATTTTTAATTTTTTTATTTAAAGGCTGCATCTGGTATTTTCTTCAGCCAATTTAACCAACACTACAATCCCCCCCTTCATTTTGGCACCACACGCCAAATTATATATGCCCTGATATTGGTCTCAGATCAACTCAACACAGATGCTCCCATTACTGATTTAGGAATCGCATCAGCACGAACAAGACATAATTAGCATAGTGAGCAAGAGACGGATTTGCTTCATTCTCCTGCCCCCCCCAAATGATTTACAATATCCAGCTCATGCACTTCACATTCACTACTTTAACGCATTTTCAATTGTCCCTTGAAATTATTGTGTTGAGTCAAGGCAGATCCAGTTGTGTCTGAGGACACAGGCAAATCTACCAGGAATTTCTCTTGTGCGAGACCGCACAGGAAATGGCACTTTGCAAAATGAAACAGTTGCCAGTAGATTATTGTGCCCCAAACCTACACAACTGAACTGTGTAGACACGTGCAAACTCTACCCAAGATTTGATGATTCGACAACATATTTTGCCAATGTTGTGATTTTTGTACTACACACAAATGCAGAAGGTCTTCTACAATTCCTAGTGGTTGCCTGCAATTTGACAAACACTGCGGTTTGTATGCGAGTATGTGGGTAGCTCTTTAAAAATGCAAATACATTTCTTGTTCATACAACAGAAAGAGGAGGGGGAAACTTTAAAGCAATGCACCCACAGTATAACATTAACTGTACAAGAGATATCTTGATATGTCTAGTTCCCAAGCACATTTAATCCAAGCATTTGTTCCGGTGCTCAAAAGGCACTTAAAGATTTTTTTAAAAAAACACAACCCCACCTACAGATGAAGATGCAAAAAATAATTTATTTTTAAAAAGACACTGGAAGTGTATCAAAGTAAACCCTCAAATAAAGTCATGGTTTTGTTCTCAAGTCACTTTCAAAAGTATGCTTAAAAAAAAACCGCTGCTAAAGTAACTGTTCCCCGTGAGCTAAAGTGGGGGAAACGTAACTGGCAATGGAGATAAAATAGTTTGACAAATGATTTTTCCTCCACCCCCATCCCAATGCCTAAGACGTCACTTACTTGCTCTTTACTACAGCAAACTTAACATCTGCTGTCATAATGACCTTTGGGTTACTCTAAAGTTGGAAAGGCAAGGGAGGGGGGGTGGGAGAGATAAAAATAATTTGATGAATGGAAAAAAACACACTCCTATATTAACTAATTGTGGCAATTACAAATGCCTACAACATTAGCAGACATGTAGGTAAACACATTTTCTCTTTGTAATATTATATTAAGGAACAATAATAGAATAAACTACATACATTATTTTCCCTTCACACTATACATGGGAAGGTCAGGACTGTTTTAGGGATGGGGAGGTTGTTTTCATTTTTACCGATGCATTTTTGTTACACTGAATTATCTACTAAGTGCAAAGATTGGGTATCACTGGGTCTCAACTAAAATTTAGCCTTAAAAAAAAGGTTACATTGTAGCAGTTACTTTTCATCATTTAAGCAGGTACACCATTATATAAACAGACTAAAACAGGCAAGGGGCAGTTAAGAGAAGAGGGAACATGGATGAAGCATGCTTGCACATGAGGTATTTAAAGAAAGGAGAATCACACAATGATTGTGTGTGTTTACTTCAGAGGGTAATAGATATCCCACCCAATACTTGGCTATTCTATGCATTTTATGTACACAGACGGGACTGGGGATGTATTTGTGCAAATAAAGGAGGATAAAATGGTAAGTTACTAAAGGAACAATCCTAAACCCATGGGAAGGTTGCCTGGCAGGCAACTGGGTACTCCCTCTCTGTTTTCAGTGGGGGAGACCAATAGCTGGAGTCCTCCTGCAGGCCATTGCTAATATAGTCCTCAGTGTCCCCAAGGGCAGTGAGGGCAAAATGGGAGAATTCCAGGCATATATTGATGCAAATAATCTCTTCCCTCCCCCCTCCAGGCATGTCCTGGACACCTTCTCATTGAAACCAATGGCGAGGGTGGGGAAGCAAAGAGCTGCTGCCTCCGCCACCCCAGCCAAGCCTAGATCCAAACTGGAACAAGCCTTGCAGGGCTTAGGAAGTGATGGTTCCTCCATCGCGAACTCCCTGCCACTGCCAAGCCTCCACAGGATTGCCTGACAGCTCTGGCCCTGCTTTAAATATGGTACACCATCCTGAAAGATGGCAGATGCCATTAAAACCAACCTCTAGGGAGTAATGGGAAACGAGTCCAGCTTCTTTTTCAATGATGGCCACTGCAAAATTAAAGCCAAAAGATGCCAAGAAAGGAAAGGAAAGTGCAGAGTTAATCAAGTGCACAGTCTGAACGAGGTTCGTCAAGAAGCACAACGGTGTTTAAATTAAAAGTGAAAATGTCCAGCCAGAGATGTCCGCAAAAAAGGAGACAAAATAAAAAAATTGCAGCAAGAAGAGTCTTGAGTTCAGTAAATAGGGAAAAGTTTTAGCTATCATGCAACCCCGAGCTCTCGCTGCATAATTATTATTTTTTGCCTAGGTTAAATTTTAGAAAGAAACGTAACTTTGTTTTCATAAACTCCAAACGGCTGTATATTGTTATATAGTACAGTACAGAAAGTGCAAATTGTCACCTCATCAGATCAGTTATATATCTGACGTGGTCAAATATGGCTCATGCTATTCATGCAAGGGGACACAGTTTGAGTCAAGACCCTCTTGTGCTGCTGAGTCATTTTAAAGGGAATGTGGTTTTACCAAAATCTTCCTTGCCTGTTTTAATCCAGATTTTCTCCAAAGGATGGGGGAATAAAATATTTCAAACACTATATAAGTTAGCCTATTTATTTATTGTTATCAACCACAGGTTACTTCAGAGTCCTCTTCTGTTTTGAAAACTTCAAGACAGCAGGAGTTGAGTTTCTTTTGTACACACATAACATTGTGCTACAACATGAAGTACGTACAGAAAATCCTAGGTTTTCCCTTCACGCAAAGGGAAGGTGTACTACTTTTAATTTCTTTGCGTCCACAGGTGGTATACTCCTTCCAACCAGGAAATGACCACAAGCTTCCATGTTTCAATGAACCAGTCTTTAAGAGATGAACTTGCAGACAAAAATCCATCCATCTACCTAGCAGGGTAAACATCACCATCAGATGCACTTCTGTATTTGCAGGACAACAGCTGAGCCAAACCCCCAGGGTGTTTCCTTTTGCTTGCTGCAACTCTAACGCCAAGCCAAGCCAGTGTGAATATTCAATTCAAGGACTGACCAATCTTCTATTGCTTAATGCACGGTTGCTGTGTAATCCACACACGCACACTCACTCACACACACAAAATCGCTCTCCAGCAGAAGTCTAGGGGTGAGTTTCTGAGGTAAATCTACTAAAATGTTACTGGGCTATGGACAGTGTCATATATATATATACTTCTACACAGACCAGAATGTTCCAGTGGTAATACATAAAATAGCCATCTTATTTGGCTACACCAAATATTTCCAGCAATCTTGATGAGTATGTGTGTAAAATATCATGAAATCCTTAAGCCACACCTACTGTCCTCAGTGCCATTGTTTTTCCAAGAGTCGTTTTCGCTGCCTTTTCCCTTCAGTAAATGACATCATTTTGTACAATCACACAGGAAATGAAAATAGGGGTGGTTACCCATGTTTCCACCAGAGATTTCCTCGGGATGGTGCTAGCTACATGGTGCCAGATTTATCTGAGGAGCTATTTGGGAAGATCTTCTCTGTGGGTGTCACTGCAGGACTACCCATTCCTGAGCTACTGCTGCTACTTGATCGATGCTGGACAACTGGCCGGATGGGTCTCATGGGTGGGGGCCTAAGCTGAGCTCCAGCAAGCCGGGCTGAGAGGGCAGGCTTAAAAGTAGTCATCATCTCTGTGGTTGAGCTGCTGCTACGCCTCATGGCAGCATCAGGATCTCTGATCATGATGGTGTGAAGGGGGCTGGCAGGTTCAGAGTTGACAGAACCTATCTGAGGGTTCTTCATTGGTTCAAGGGTGTCCAGGACAACGTCAGGGGCTTGTTTCACAGTATTTTGCCTTTCAAGCTCACGCAGCTCATTCAATGCTGTGCTCATTGTCTTCTCAATGTCCTGTAAACACAACAAACAGAAGCAGAGGGGTTAAACTGTTATCATTCTTGCATTAAATGATTTAAACCTGTCCATTACTTGTTTCTCATGGTCACTTCTTTGCTTGCATTATTCAGAGGGCAGGATTCAAAAAACCAAAAATGGACCAATTGGTAGAATTTTCCCATATGTGATGGTGGAAGTCTTTTCAGTACTATTTTAAAGGTGGAGGGACCCCTGACCATTAGGTCCAGTCATGGCCGACTCTGGGGTTGCAGCGCTCATCTCGGTTCTAAAACAGTTCTAATGATTACATTTGCCCAAGAGCTGCGGAGGAACATCAGACCATTTCACTTTCCCAGTGCTCTATTGCAGTAGTAGTGGCCCTCCAGGTGTTGTTGGACTACATCTCCCATCATCCTGACTCTTGGCCATGCTGGCTGGGGCTGATGGGGAGCCAAAGATTCCCCCTGCTCTACTGTAAGATGTTGAACCTGTGAGCAACTCTCTGGACTGTAAATAACCCTCAAAATTGCTGAACCTCAACAGCTCTCAGGATAATGTGAGCCCACCAATCAAGTTTCTTGATTAGGAGTTCACTTTCAGATGAAAATAAACCCCATGTTGTCCTGGTCAAATGGAAGTTAACAGGCCCAATTCTCCATGGCTATTTGTTAATTAAAAGTATGTATAGTCTGCCTTTCAGCTTCCAACATTATTCAAAACATATCAAAATAGAAACATAGAATAAAAAACAACAACACAGCATGATTAATGCAACTGAAGGTTGTATTCTTGATTTCAACATGAAGTGAGTTCTCCCACCCATGTTTTCAGTTATGGTTATTAATTCTCCAATGCTCTTCCATGCAATCCAGCAGGACAAAGTCCTCTTTCCTTTTCTGTATGCTACAACTATACTGGTTGGCCACCTTCATGTTTCTACTCAGATGATGGCATCTGGCTGCCAAGAACTCTTTCCCCCACTATACTAACGAGTGGGAGTAGCGTCATCCATCATAGTCATTTAGTATTTACCAAGAAATCTGTTAGTGTATCCGTTTTGGATGGAAGGCATCTATCCTCCTATGCATTTAAGGATAATAAGCTGACATGAAGGTTTCACTAGAAGGCCATTGCAGCCAAAATTAGAGCCCAATTAAACTGAAATGGGGGAAATGAAACACTACCCTGTAAATTATACCAAAGCACTTAGGAACACAGCAGCTATGCCAAGAGGAGGGTTTCCCTCCTATTCTGTATTTTTTTTTATTCAAACCTCCGTAAGATTTTGAGTTGAAAAGTGCATGAGAACAGGCACAATCCAAACGTCCTTTGTGCTGGCTTGATGGGGGCAGGTTGGGTTGGAAAAAGGTATCCCTCCATCAACAGCCTTTGCTTGTGAAGTGTGGTGCAGAGGTCCCTGGTTCTGCCTGTTGAATGTGCAGGTGGGTGAGCAGGAAGTGTTACCACTAGAAACCCCTGAAAGAGGGCATGCCAGGGGAAGGGCTGAGCCCAAGCTGGAACCTGAGCTTGCCCCTCTGCTTTCACATGATGGCACTGTGACAGCTCCAGGCCGGTACTGTAATTTGCCTATCATCTTTCATGGACCATGGATGTGGCAATTGGCCCCTCCAGCCACACCAGGCAGTGGCTGAGGTGCATTGTGCCTTAAGGCATTAGGGATCTGCAAGATCCCACTCAAAATTAATGTGGGTGGAAGGTGGTATCAATACTGATCCAAGAAACTATTCATCTTTAACTGAATCTAGTTCAGTAAAACAGTAATATTACTGTATCCTTTAACTTAATAACTCCACAGTTATAAGCCTCTTGAACGTAGGTTTGGTTTTTTAAAAATAACTCTTTTGTTAAAATAATTCCCCCTACACTGTAGGCATCACAGATATAGGATGCAAATCCTATTCTGATCATGTTGACAGTAGAAGGAGCACAAAACCATTCCAATTCTCAATAAGCTAGCGTTTTTAAAGATCAGAGTAAAAATGAAAGGGAAAAATGGCACTAATTATTCTTTCCATCGTCATAGCTACTATTAGGCCATTTAAGAAAAATAATGTGATTACGATTAAAATTATGTTGTTATAAAAAGAAAGTGTTGCATTGCCCACCCCCTTTACCTAACCCCTGACACTGGTACTTGAGCAATCTGCTCAGAACTCAGCAAATAAACGGCTTCTTTCAGGCCCATCTAGTAGAAAAACAATGTGAAATATACATTTTGTCACAAAGACAGGCTCAGCCTTGACACATAACTTTTGAAAGCTACATATGAATAATGCATTTTAGCAGCTTCAACTGATAAAACTGACCCATGTACTATCATGGGGGGGAACCACCTTGATTTTTGGATTGTACTACAGCAAAATTAGCATATGTATGTATGGCAATGGCCATAAACACTGTCATTTTATGTAGAAACCAAAAGAGTCATATATATTTACTTTAGGATGGAGACAGAAGGTGATTGGAAAGAGGTAGCGCCTTTCTTTGAAATCCCCTCCAGCTATTACACTTCAATGAAACCCATATGAATTCCAAGTTCCATAATTTTCATTTGCGAAGAAGAAGAAGAAGAAGAAGAAGAAGAAGAAGAAGAAGAAGAAGAAGAAGAGGAGTTTGGATTTGATATCCCGCCTTTCACTCCCCTTCAGGAGTCTCAAAGCGGCTAATAATCTCCTTTCCCTTCCTCCCCCACAACAAACACTCTGTGAGGTGAGTGGGGCTGAGAGACTTCAAAGAAATGTGACTGGCCCAAGGTCACCCAGCAGCTGCATGTGGAGGAGCGGAGACGCGAACCCGGTTCCCCAGATTACGTGACTACCGCTCTTAACCACTACACCACACTGGCTGGTGTCCCCTCAGACGTGTACATCAACAGAAGGTAGCCCTGGATGCCACATAGGTTTTGAGAAAGGATCTTTGCAGAACGTGGATTTGAAAATGTACACAGGATGTGCTGTGAGGCTGTCTACTCAGAACTCTACTCTAGAGTTCAATGGGACTTATTTCCAGTGTGTTTGGAATTGAAGCATCAGTGCTGTAAAGGACATATAATGCCAAATCACACCACTGCCTGCTTATTTGCTGAGAAGTACTCATTTGATTATCATGGTTCATTCTTTCATTTAATTTGAAGATTAAGTAATATAGTCCAATCCAAATTTTAAATAAGCCTCATTGGCTATCTAGGACTCTTTTAGGACCCCTTGAGTGAACAATTAGCTATTTGCCACATTTCTTTCCAATTTGAAAAGGTGCTTTGATAAAACATAGAGGCATTTCTCTCTTAAGTGTTGCCATTTGTTCTGACTTTACTAGCAATTTCTTTGTGCTCTTTTCTTTTCCCTTGCATTTCTTCTCTGCTGGTTAAAAGAAGAAGATATTTTAAGAAAATAGTCTAGAAACAGAATTTGTGGCCTGGAGATCACGCCACCCTATTTTGTTTTTAGGGCAAATATAATAGGCCGCTCTGTCTATTATTAAGGAAGGTTTTTTCTTTCTTCTAGATAACCATCAACTGCCTACAGAAGTTTTTAGATGCTCTGTTGGCAGTTCCCTCTCTGCTGGCCTCTGGGCTCGCCCAGATTAGGAGTAATGGCCCACAGAAACACCAATTCATTCTAATATCATAAGACAAAGAGCACCCACTGCTAGGCAAAGAAGTAATGTCATTCTATTTGGTTTACTGCTGTGCAAATTAAACACTAAACAAAAAAAGGAGGAATAAAAATGAGACAGAGTAAAGAAAAGAAAAACACAATTTGAATGAAAACAAAGTCTCCATAATCCTCAAGCAGGGACGTGTGGGATAATGGCATTAAACCTAAATCATCACACTGCAAAAAAAATATATATTGATGACTGCCTTTAAAAACTGAACACCACCAGCCACTAGCGTTACTATGGCGAAAAGTCGCACAGGAACAAGCAAGCAAGCAATAAAGTGACAACATAATCAATCTATCAACAGCCCACACAGAAAAGGTTGAAAGGTGTCAAAAGCTAATAAGTGTTAGATTGAAAATAAACAGCTCCACCAACCTTTGAGCAAAAGGTAAAGAGGCTCAGCTGAGAGTTCAGAGAAAAATGTTCCTCCATTTGGTCCTTAAAGGCTACCCGCTAATACTGCCACTTACAGCTTCAGATTTTTTAAAAACCCAGAAGTCTCCCCTCCCAATCCCCTTGTTATCGTTTGTCTGGATGCTTTATTTCATACAAATCAACATTTTCCTCACACATATCCCCCTCCCCCAAAGGTTCAAGTCTTGGTGGTGGCAGTTTTTGTTGGATTAAACCTCTCCTCCCCATGCACTGTAATCCTGGTCAAAACTGACTCAGGGACCTGCTATAAATTTTAAAGGCCTAACCTGGTTTAGACTGACATCAAGTTTGGACCTAAGAGAGGTATGAACATTAACCTTCCCCTTATCTAGCTGCTAGTTTATTTACTGGTACAAACTTGGTACAAAACTTGTCCCACCTGCCAGCCAAAATTGGCTCATAAAGCCAGTTAAAACTATATATTTTATTTTTTAGTTCTGTCAGCACAGTTCAAAGACCAGTATAGTGGTCAAAGACCTATGCAACCTAAAAATCATCTTGTTTTATGCAAGATTTCTGATCCTAGTCTAAGTTCCCATTCTGTAAAATGGGAAAAATCAGGGAACCTTTTTATGAGAACATTGGTTTTGTTCAGATTCTAATTAGCATTACTTAGCTTTTGCCTCTCTCTGGTCACAGGCTACTTTACTTCTTACTTTACACGGTTTGGAGACTGCTCAAATTCTCTAGGGGGACACATATTGCACTGGAAGGATAAGCACTAATGCGTTTTAAAAGTATTTGCGTTTTTAAGATTGAAATACACTTTAGTGGCCCAACATATCAATCCCCTTGAGTAAGAACTTGAAAGCGGCTGGCTTCTGGTGGGTCACAGTGGTCAGTAAGCTTCAGTCCAGTCAAAAATTAAACGGGATCCACTGCGAAGTACAATGCCGCAATAGGTTGGCATGGTTGTTGATTTACATACTGCAAATCTAGAAACCAATGCATCTTAAAGAATCTAGTCTGGATGGCTCAATATAGACATGGCTGATCCCCTGAAATCTGTTCCCTGAAACACTCAGTGAATCTCACTTTTTCATAATTGCAGCCTCTCCTACCTCTGCAAGTGCTTCGGCTTCTAGTGACTTCTGATCCCCAAGACTACTGTGCCGAGTTGAGCTGCAGGTGGGCCTCAGTGGGTGGCCGTCAATCAAGGCCTTCCTGTCTGGATAGTTGATGCTGCCAGCACTGCCAAAAGTGGCCATCCTGCGCTTCTCTGGGCTCTCAATCCTGCTTCTGTTCAGTGGTAATATGTGGGGACTGCTGGGACAAGCTGCTGCTCGAGGAGGGGTGTCTATCCCAGGACCAATCCCTCTGGGAGGGCTGTGTGTATCGCCTCCACTGCGACGGCGAGGGATTGCTGCCCCGTCGGATCTCAACCTTACCCTGTGAAGAAAACAACAACAACAGCAGCCTTGTGAAACCCCCACTCCAAGCTTCCAAAGTCATCTAGACTAATAAATGGATCTCTACAGACCCCTTCCGTTTAAAACACAGTATAAATCGTACAAATTGGCTCATAAATTTCCTCCGGTTCATGCATTGACTATCGTGCCCGTCACAAGAGGAGGAGAAAGACAACGCTTGCATCCAGATGAGAACAAATCAGTTTCCTACCGTCCCATTACTCCCCCAAATCCGTAGTCTGGAATATGGTCTGTTGGAGACTGGATGTCATTCTTTGATGAGGCTTTATCATCCAGCAGAGGTCCACTACTTGCCTCGCTGTCTGCCTTCTGACTCAGGCTGTCTGAGAATGCATCGTCCCTATGAATAATGAAACTCTCTGTCAGCCAGAACAGAATAACTGAATGCCTTCTGCGTGAGGGAGAAGCTCTGCTTGATTGTGGAGGAGGGGGATGCAATAATGTCTGGGGAGAAGCAGAGCTGAAAGGAGGCAGCTCAAAGTTCCACTCCGCTGCCTAACTTATTTCTTTACCTTATGTAAGCCCCTACAGATATGAAACACAAAACTCTTGTTCAGCTGACCAACAGGGTCTTCGGCTTGTTCTCAAACCTTTTGCTCGCTACCACATAGAAGCCAGTTAGTACAGCAACCTGTAGAGTTAATATATTAAATCTACAGGTTGCTGTACTAACTGAAAGTACAGTACATACAAAATAGAATAGCAGCCAAAACAAAGACATTTTGTAAGAGGGGAAGAAACATATTAAAAAGAGGCCGCTTATTATTAGATATTAATTGGCATTGCTGTAATGGGCTATTATTGGAATAGTATTGGAAAACTAATTAAAAAGAAGAAGAAGAAGACGAGGCCTTCTTTCGTGTGGATGAATGAACAGAATCAAGGAAGCTATGCATTATATGGCTCTATGCCCCATAGTTTTTTGGGTGGTGTGTGGGTTGGGGGAAGGGCTTCTGTTGAACAAAGTCTTTGAAATTTTCATGCTTGCAGCTGTCAACATCTGGAAGAATATTCCACTTCTGCAATGGAATGGGGAATGATGCACAAATATGAGGAGGAAAGATAGTAAAAACATTTTTACAGCACAAGAAAGCTGAACTTTGATCCAAAGAACATGATGAGTGGAAAGGGAAAGTTTTCTGCTTGACTTTTTCTAGATCAAGAATTCCAGATTTATTAGCCAAATCTATCACAATATTTCAGTATATTCTGGATCTGACACACATACAACCACTCTCTTACATATTGTATCAAACTATCCTGGACGCAATACCTGTAGAACATAGTAGACATATGCTTTTATGTGAATACAGCTTAGGAAGAGTGGCACAGCGCTCTGCCAAAAGTGCAATTATTAATGGCATTAAAAAGGATGTGCAGGAGGGTATCAAATAAGATTTAAAAGAAAATCAACCCACCCTTCACTCTATGAGTGAAGCACAAGACAACAGACCAATTTCCACCCAAAACAAACAGCTAACCTATCGCACTTCACTTGTTCAGCAAACTTCTTCCTACTTACATATCTTGCACCACTATGTACTGATGTGGTATGAGGCCATCCACACCATTATGGCGACCTTCCCACCAGTCTTCAGATGCTCGATGGTACAATAGAAGTGAGGCACCTTTCTTGAAAGACAACTCGCGTGGGGACCGCCCAATGTAGTCAAACTTGGCAATAGCTTCAATCTGTTCCACCTCTGTAAGCAGGCAGGAGGGAGAAGACAAGAGAGGCAATTAAAAGGAAGCTGCAGTAAGAAAGCAATGGAGTGCTCTCTGTGATGTAAGATAAGATTTCACTGAAATGTTTAGTTTTCTTAATAAAATTGGTATACTGCTTAATTGTTGAAACCTCTCGGTGATTTACACAGTACAGCTAACACCATCCTTTTTCACGACGTAATTTAGTTTAATGTTGTGACAAACTTCACAGCTGCCTTTGATTTTAGCCTCATTAAAAAAAATTGATGTTATTACAGTAATCTGAATTACTGGTAAAGTAGCAGCTCTTCATGGGGTGGGGTGGGGGAGAGAATGAAATACTAGGCCAGGATTGTGCAGATGCACACCATCAATTGGGAAGAAACCACTGCAGTTATCTCCACACTTCTGCCACCATCTTACATATACTTTTCAAGAAACTCAAGAGTCCACCTGGATACACAATTGAGCTGCCCCAGCATACGACACATCTAAGAATTAATGTACGCATTTTTGCAAATTCCTCCCATTCTGTCCATAGGACAATGTACCCCAAATGGCAACAGATATTCTTCATATACTTGTTCACCTCTCCTGATGCTTTCGTCTGCTTTTTGCAAATATGTTTCGGGGATAAGCTATAAAGCCACTGTGGATGCATGCCTTTGTATGGGAGCGGTCAGAGTCAACTCTGTATGAACCATCCAGAACTGGCCCACACTCTGTAGGTCATTTTGACAGGTGGGTGCAGCTGCTCAACTGTCAATCGCCTGACATATGACATCAGGTGACTCAAAGTTCAATCTGTGGGAGCTGGTGGAAATTGGAGCTAAAATAGAAGATAAGCCACTCTCTGTTTAAAGAGCAGGCTGTTTAAAGAAGCAGGAAGAAACCTGTCTCCAGTACTACAGTGTTAAATCAGACACAAGCATCTACTGCTCCTTTTTAGTATCAAAGAGCAGGTAGAGAAGGCATCCCCAACCTGTGGCCCTCCAGATGTTTTGGCCTACAACTCCCATGATCCCTAGCTAACAGGGATGATAGGAATTGTAGTTCAAAACATCTGGAGGGCCGAAGGCTGGGGATGCCTGAGGTAGAGGCTTAGATCTGATCTTAATGCTACGGTTCTTAGATAAGACAAAAGAGATCCCAACATCTGACATCATATGATGTCACGTGAGTGACAGCTGGGTGAAGTGTGCCCAAAACCTTGCTATGGGAAGTGTGTACAGATCTTCCATTCTAACTAATAACTCACTGTGATTTCTACATGTAACAATACCCCCAGTCTGCCTGAAATGAAAAAACAGGCTTTATTGAGAACCTTCAGGTTCCAATGTACTGCCCCTGACCTATACTGTTCCAAATTTGTTGTACAGTGGTACCTCGCAAGACGAATGCCTCGCAAGATGGAAAACTCGCAAGACGAAAGGGTTTTTGTTTTTTTTTGAGCTGCTTCGCAAGACGATTTTCCCTATGGGCTTGCTTCGCAAGACGGAAACGTCTTACAAGTTTGTTTCCTTTTTCTTAACACCGTTAATACAGTTGCGACTTGACTTCGAGGAGCAACTCATAGCACGCGGTGTGGTAGCCTTTTTTGAGGTTTTTGAAGACTTTGGTGATTTTTGAAGCTTTTCCAAAACTTTTCCGACACCGTGCTTCGCAAGACGAAAAAAATCGCAAGACGACAAAACTCGCGGAACGAATTAATTTCGTCTTGCGAGGCACCACTGTATTTTGTCATTTTCTGAACTTTGCCATTTTAAAATTTCTGTTTACTTTTTGTATGTTTCATTATATTTATATTTCTAATATATTTGTATCTAGGATGACTGAATCTGTCAATTTCAGTCTTAACTTCAGTTTCCCAAATTTTGACATCAGTTTGCAATGGTTTTTTAAAAAAACAAAACCATGAAGTCATCAGAATTTATGCAATTTTCTCTTCATATACAGATTTCTGTATGCAATTTTACCTAAAATACACATTTTTGCAAAGCAATATTCCTCAGTGCAGTGCATTTTTGTATGTTATTTTCACTAATAGAAGAAGAATCTTTATTACGACCATAGGCAAGCATAAAATATCTGCATGTTTACCCTGGTATATGCATTTTTGCCCACATTACATAGTTAGAGATCTGCACTGCAGAATTTGGACAAATTTGGAGGGCAGGCTGTGTTTCGTTTAGCATATTGTTTCAGAAAATGAAAAATTAAGTTCACCTTCAAATATGAACTGAATTTTTCCTTCATACCTATTTGTCTCCCATCATTCTTCTACAGAACTCAGAGAAGAATATTTTATTTTCCTAGGTGACCCAGGTAACAGCTAGGTTCAAATGTTGGGATTATTTCTTGGGAGAAGTTCACACACACCAGAAAGCTTGAAATAAAACCAAGCATATTAGGAGGCAAGCCAGAGGAATTCACCCACAACTTATTCAGAAGTGTATGGCTCTTTTTGGCACATTTCTTTACATATATTTTTAAATTATGAGCAGAGGAAAGAAATTCTGGAAAGTGTCCTTTGAGCTTGTTTACCTGATCCAGGGTACACAGGCTGCAAGTTCAGAATGGTTATCCTGAAATCAACAAGCTTTCCTCAGATTTGGTAAGACTATACAGAAGGAGTTCGTAGTCTTCTATCCCAAGGCTACCACATGAACAACATCAGTAAGGCAGAAAAGATATAATTGTTCAGAGGCATGCCTGTATACACCTCTGTTTCCTCTATACAATGCAGAAAGTGGAATGTCTGATTCACTTGGACAACTGATTATGCCACTTATTAGACCTTTTATAAGCCCACCCTGTGACAGACTGACAATCGCTCACTTCAGGAAACTCCTGAAAGGACCAATTACCCACAGGATACCATCAAGCTAAGGATGTCTCCTGAGAGACCATCTTTCCCACTTTTAACTTGTCTTACCACTTGGAGTGACTCACATAAACATGCAAGAAAATTAGAGGCTGAAGCGGGATAAGAAGCTGCTACCCTGCAACACAAAGTTATGTAAACAAATCTTCACTGCAGTGTGCCAGCTTAATATTCTACAACCACATGTCACTTCCTGGGCCACTCTAAAAAAAAAGGTTTCCGGTAGATGCCATCAAGCACTTAATTAGAACAATTTCATTTTTTTAGACGCTCAGTTATCTTTTTTGGAAGACAAAAAAAATCCTCAACCCCCTCTCATCCATAGAATAGCATGTCAAAGGTCCAAAGACAGAACTAAATTGGGAAAATGGACTTTAGGTATGTAACATTTTAATTAAGGGGAAACAAGTTTGTTTGTTTGTTTGTTTGGGGCAGCACCTAATGATAAACAAGGCTTCACTTAATATCCAGATAACAATAAAATAATCTGACAAGGATTTGGCATAGAACAGAGCATAAAAACTATGGTCTGGTAAAGATACTTGAAAAAGTTTTTAATTTCCCATAAGATATATGTACACAGAGGCACACACCCCACACCCCATTGTCTCTGATGAGACACATTTCAGAGTTTTTCTGAAGCAATGTGAAATGTGCCAAAATCTGTTTACCAGAGACAAAAATAGGATGAGCACAATGCTTCTTTCAATCTACCTGCCTCTAAATAAACAAAAACAAAAATGAAGTCTAATCTGCTTCCAGAATAAAATGGTTTCAAAAAATGAAGAGTAGACGCACTCATGAAGGGCAGGGTCCTATCAGTGGCTATTAGTCATGACAGCTAAGTCCCCTGATTACAGGCAATTCAGATGGTATGTTGGCAACAACAACCTGGAAGCACAGTACACCATATCATCTTGATTATGATTTTTTTCTTGGGCATTGTTTGAATCCAGAATGCTGGACTCAAAGAACCTTGAGCAGGTCTAGCAGATCAGTTCTTACATTCCTGTGTGCAGGAAGGCAGAGACAGTTTTAGGAACAGACTTCAAGACCCATCTTGGGCAATATTGGGAAAGGCATCTTACCTCTTTACCCAGTCCAAATAAAGTGACATTTGGTAGTAACAGGCAGAACCTATAAAGGACTCTCACAGAATTGGAGAGAACTGTGGTGGCTAATGTGGTTATCTCACAGAATCTGAGAACTGCTATGTTCCTCACTAGGGCTGTGGGTTAGGTGGGGAGGGGAAAGAGACTAGAAGAGAGTATGTAAATTTATAAAATGAAACAACTCTTCTTCTCCATGCTTGTGTCATGGTTAATCACCCAGAAACTCCAATCAGAACTATTAACATAATCATTCAAGCATAAAATTGCCTAAATGGAAGCTTGCTTGCCTTTCCTTTTCAGTTGAGGTAGGTTGTTAGTCACCAACAGTGAAAAATGAAGGTTGACATCTCCCTCCCTTCCTCCCTTTAAACATCCATCTTCAATTATTGGAATTATTCTTTGTCCCTTCTCCCCGTCTTGGGCCTTTAGTACATTTCAACTGTTTTGAGCCACTGCTGCCATTTCCCCACAACATGCATCAATAGGGCACGGGGCTTTATTTGCAGCGTTGAAGGGAGAATATTAATGGAACAAAGACCACAAAGCAAGCGGACAACATGCATGCAGAGTCATGCAACAGGCAGGATTCTGTAACAATGTTTTCTAATCTGCAAAATAAGCCAATTGAAATGGCAACATGTGGTTCCAGGTTTATTAATTCTCACTGATGTCCAAATCAAACTTGTTCAGTCTGTAAAATAAAAATAAAAATAAGGATGGATGGGTAGGTGTGTGCATGGATAGAATACAAATCTCCCCCCGCCCCCAATCATGAAGGTGTGGAATTTAATATGGAACGAAGGAATCCAACTGAGCTCCTTAAGGCTACTGCCCAATATCCTTCTGTTCATATTTCTGAGCTGAAAATAAGTATTTTGGGATAGGGTGAATTATAGCTACAGAAATGTTTTAGCTGTGAGAATATTCAGATTCTTTTATTCCGTGACATTGGTCCCCCCAGCCCCGTTCCTTTCTCCTTCCCTCACTCTGGTGATCCAAGTCAATCACAGATCACGTAGTGAGTGTGATTACCTTCTAGTGCTCCATAGCCAGTAAGATTTTACTATGTGCTGATGGAAATTAAGGCAATTTAGAGTAAGAGTACTGTTTATTGGATTACTCACATGAATGATTCTAGCTATCAAGGGTCAGATAGTGAATTTATGATGCTATGAGGCTATATATTTCATTACGAAGGTAGCATCATTAAGGGCAAAGTCAATTCAGAAGAAGTAATGCAAATTAATAGTGAAAATTTTCAAAGCAATCCCTGGAAAATAATCAAAAGGTGGTGGGGGGAGATTTGCAACACTGCTGAAAATGTCCCCCTAAAAATGAGTACCGTCAGCGCAGCCCTTATTACTGATCCATAATTTTAAGCAGGTTTCCACAGTCTAAACCTTATCTATCTATGCAACAATCTTTCTGTGGTCATGGCAAGTACTGATGATAGCACAGATTTAATCAAAAGTGGGATCTTGTCTTAGAAATGGAAAAATGTGAACACCCTTTTGCAAGAATAGACTCCAGTTCCTTTAACTGCTGCAGCACTTTAAATACAGCAGAGAGTAAACAGAAAGGAGCAGATTCCATAGTGAGAAAGTATCAAGCTGAGGAGGTACTAGTTATTAATGAGAGGGGCTGTGGTAACAGCTTGATTTATAACTCACCAAATCTTTTGGAAAGGTTCCACCAATATCAAAAGGCTGCCATCACTTATTTTCATTAAAAAAACACTATAGATTTCTATTAAGTTCTATCACTGTTCTTCCTGGGAAGCATATCAGAAGCACATTAGGTGGCGAACATAACAGATTACAGGCCACTCAAATAGTTATTTTATCACAACAACATCTTCATTTTTTTATTCCCATGGCACTGGAACAACAAATATAGAACAACAAACAATCCAGAGATGCCATTTTCAGGCCAAATGGAAGAAGGAAAGGCTAGCTTGTTAACCAGGGCATCAAGGCCAACTCCCATAATGCCTTGGAATGAAATCACAAATAAAACAGGTAACCTAGTATGCTCCCATATGGTCTACTTTGATTACATATCTATCAAGGCACTTCATCAGTATCCGCTTGCACTGTCAAACTCAGACATATCTCCCCCTGGAAGCAGCCATATGTTAGTCCAGGGTAATCTGATTAGGAACTAAATGCATGTTGCTGTTCTCCACACACAGCTCTTGATGGCCTTCCTCAGGCTCATTTCTACCTCTTGTTTCTACACTCACCATCGTCGCTGGTGTGTGGCTCCGTGCCATTGTCATGGTCTGCTTCATCAATGGTGCCTGGCTCACTGTGCGGGCTGTCACTAGAATTAAGATAGGTCAAGTAAATACACATAAGTTTTAAAACAGAGAGGTAAGACTTGACAGTTCTTTGCTACTCAATGCATACATAAATCCACATTTCCTAGATCTAAGGTCTTAATTTTGTAGCAAATGAAATACAGTGGTACCTCGGGTTACATACGCTTCAGGTTACATACGCTTCAGGTTACAGACTCCACTAACCCAGAAATAGTACCTCGGGTTAAGAACTTTGCTTCAGGATAAGAACAGAAATTGTGCGGCGGTGGCGCAGCAGCAGCAGGAGGCCCCATTAGCTAAAGTGGTGCTTCAGGTTAAGAACAGTTTCAGGTTAAGAACGGAGCTCCGGAACGAATTAAGTACTTAACCCGAGGTACCACTGTATGGAACTAAACACCATTGGATCTCTAATATGGGTTTATGTCCGGGAACAGATTTTGTTATTCCTGCCTGAATAAGTTGGGGAAGCACATATTTGTGTTTGCTAGAAACCCTAAGCTCACATGACAGGAAATGTTCTCTCTACTAGCTGGTCCCATTTGAATTTATTGATCCAGTGGAAACATTCCTTCCATCACAGAGGCCAACAGTGACTGGTGAGCAGGGCCCAAGCAAGCTGTCAACACAATCGTCACCATCTGCTCCAATCCCTCATAAAAAACCACTGTAAGAACCAGCTACCTTCTGAGCGGGAAATAAAGGAAGAGCCATGCAAGTTCTGGCTATCACCATATGCTACTACTGTCACCACCCAGAACTTGCCCCTTCGCTCCAGAGGTCGTCATTTAAGACCCAGCTGGGCTGTAAGGAGAATAGGAAGAGAGGGTCTCTCACCAGCAACTGTGATAGCATCGCATGCAAATTTCGTCCTTTTCACAGACAAGTTTAGGAACAATTCAAATGCTACAGTGCCACACTGAGGGCCCCTGGAAACACATCTCCACAGTAGCAGGCGAGTCTTGAGGTTTGGGCAGCCTTTACCAAGGACTAAGCCTTTAGAATGCCAGGCCCTGTGCTGTGGAATTCCCTATCAGAGGATCTGAAGAAGTCATCCCTGCCTTCTTTTAGACAACATTGGAAAGCTGTACGGGTCAGACAGGACTTGGAACATGATTATTATTTTTTAAAAAAACCCCAGTCTATATTGATGTTATTGTAAGGTTATCTTTTTACGTTGGACACCATCTTGTTTTTTTTTCTTCCATGAAAGTGCAGCTTAAACATTTACATTAAGAAATGAAAATATGCTTAGGTTGCAGCCAATGTTAGTCCTACTTGAAGGAGTATAGAAAGAGATTGGTAGGTTTCTGAAGACGTGGAACTCATTCCCCCTGCTCCAAAGAAGAAGAGAATAGGTATGTTAAATGGAAAATAGGTTTATCAATGGGTATTAACCATGAAGGTTATATAGGACCTCCACATTCAGAGGCAGCATGCCACTGAATATGTGATATGGAACAGAAGTGGGAAAGGGCTCTTGCCTTGTTGCTTTGCTTATGAGATTCCAGAAAGCATATTATTGGAGCCCCTGTGAGATGTAGGATGCTGGACTAGATGGAATTTTGCTCTGGAATCCAGCATATATTCACAAAATAACAGCAAGTCAGAAGCCCTATTTGGCTGCTTAGCTTCTAGCAGATACAACACTATTTCAAACCTGTTCTGGCTACTAACAGTGCAATCCTGACTATGTTTCCTCAGAAGCATGTACCACTGAATTCAATGGGATGTACTCCCAGGTAAGTGGGGTTAGGACAGCAGCCAGAGGCTTAAAAACAAAAGGAGTGATTCTTTGTACTGCATTTTTTAAAAAGCAGATGCGTCAAAGTAATACCCCTGCATTTCCTGATACCATAAATTACTATCTCCTAGTTCAAATAGCAATTGGTTTCTTAAAAGTATACTGCAGACACAGAGAATTGATCTGGATTAGCATTCTATTCTACCTGCAGGGATAAGGGTCTTTAAACCCAACCTGGATCAGACCTCCTGCACCTGCTATTTGCATCCAAGAAAAAGTTGTCATTAGCACCAATACAAATAGCAGGCATAGAGGACCACAGGACCACAGCATGAATTGGGTCAAGTCCAATTCATTCATTCATTCATTCATTATTTTTTTAAAAAATATATACTTTCAATATACCAAATGTACATTTTAATCCTGATCTCCTTACCAGTACTCTTCGCCACCTGTCATGCATTTTTCATAAACGGGTCCTTCCAGCTCCCTGAGGCTAGGGAAGATGGCTTCATGATTGATTATGATAGTTTTGATGACCTCGTTGACATGAGCCTGGCAGGACACTGGATCCTGCCCATCTGGAATATGCATCAAAGTTGGTCCAAAGCAGATGGCCAGGTTGTAAGGATCCATCATGTTCTCATCACTGTACTGTGACAAGCTGCAAATACAAGCAACCCACAGTGGCATCACCAAGCCATCAACTATTAAACACAAACAGGAGCTCCATAGGCATTTCCTCCAGATGAATGAAAGGCAGCCATTGCAGATATCAATGGTCAAGTGGCTCCCCTCCCTTACTGCCCAAGGACTGGGTTTGAACAGGAAAGAGAGAGGAGGAGGAGAAGCGAAGGCAGTTTACAAGGGAAGGGAATTTACGGCTCCATTAAATAGTAAGCAGCGGGTGAAAAGACTCACTGGTTGAGGAAAGCAAAGAGATATCTCATGACAATGATGACGGCCCGTGGCAAGGTAATAACGATTTGCTGGATCTGGTGCACTCGTTCTGCAACGCTTTCAATTTCTGCAACATAAGAACGTACAGCAGTCCATTGAGGTTCACAATCAAGCACACACAATTAGCAGACCAACTCCAAGGAATTTTGTTGCTCATGTTTCTCTTACAGACGCAAGCAGGGATAGTTGACTTCAGCCCTCAACAGCTATTTCCTGCACCTGCCTCTATCTGTGAGATAGGTACTTGATTTTCACATTTGAGGGCATAAACTTTAAGAAGAAGAAGAGGAGGAGGAAGAGGAGGAGGAGGAGGAGGAGGAGTTTGGATTTGATATCCCGCTTTATCACTACCCAAAGGAGTCTCAAAGCGGCTAACATTCTCCTTTCCCTTCCTCCCCCACAACAAACACTCTGTGAGGGGACTTCCGGGTTGACGCGATCTGGAAATGGCGGATTCCCTCCGAGCTCCGGAGGGAACCGGCTCCACTGAGGATGGGTCTTTGCCGCGCCGGCGACGCGGGGACCCTTAAAAACCGCAGGCGCGGAAGCCTGCGGACTGAAGACTCGGCGGGTGCCTTAAGCGCCCCCCCTGATTCGCAAAGAGCCTTTTTAAAGGCTGCGGAGGGGATACGGGGGTGGCGTGGCACTGAGAGTCGATCGCTACCTCGGTGGAGTGAAGCCGCGAGCCAGGACCAGAGAGCGCTGACTTCCTTCCTTGAAAATTTGGACTGAAAGAATTACCCGTGAGTAAGACGGATTGGGACTATATAAAAATTTTACCTTGAATTGGAGACGATCGGGGGGTGTGCTAAAAGGAAGTCCGCACCCCCCCTCTTGCAGACGACCTAAGCAACGGCATAAGAGCTAAGCTGGAGAGCCTACCCCTGGTGGGGTGAGTTAAAAAGGACATTAACTTCTAAGATTTAACTAAAGGAAATTTTGGGCTGGAGAGTGGAGTTTTGGGAACTTTCTTTTTGCTTCAAACAACCCCCCCTCCCGGGCCCGGGAACGTCCTGCCTCGGTGCCTGTGTAAGAGCTGCGGAGTTTGACAGCTGTCAAAGCTGCCAAACGGTCGGTTTAAAGTGCAAAAATTGTCATCTCTTGACTAAGACGAGTTACAATTGAGCTAAAATCGTTGGAAACAAAGTAATAATAATCAGTGAAAGGATTGTTGGTGAAAAGGCTAATAAGTAACCAGATTCCCCCTAGGGGGAATTCTGTGAAACTACAATGGATACAATGGCTGTGGAAGGAAAGTTACTGGTGGAAATTGAAAGGATGTTTCAATTGGTGGGAACTTTACAAGAGCAGAGCTTGGCCATGAATAAACAGCTTGAGACTATGACCTTGGGAACAGGCAACTCTGCTCTTTGTATTGAGGACCTCAACGAGAAAGAATTCACAGCTGAATGGGAAACAATACCTACAGAGTTGGAAGAGACTAAACAACAAGAAAAAGAAGAAGTAATCCTGGGAAGTAACAACCAAAAGTTGACATCTGCGGAACATAAGCAAGGAAACGCTGGGAACATATCTACTACAAGTCTGCGAAAGATACAGAAGAAGAAGAAGGAGGTCCCGGGACAAAATGGAACACAGAAATTTAAAATAAAGAAATATGCTTGGGGCCTCCGTTTGGACTTTGATCTTGAAGAGATAGGCTTTGTGGAAATTCTTCAGCAGTTACTTTTGAACCCCCTTGTGGGAAGAGGAAACACTTTGATGGTGAAAGAACTTTTCCCAGACTTGATGACTGACATAAAGGACTACCAACGGGACAGGCGGAGAGGGACTGAAAGGGATTTGAAAGCCTCGGACGTGAGGAACCCAGGCTGAGAAATTCGAATTTGGATTTTTATTGGGAAGGGACAAAAACCGGGGATGGGAGGGAGGGAAGAAGAGACTCTTAAAAACTCTTAAGACTTTTAGGTTTGGTTAATATGACTCTTAATTAAGATAAAATGAAAATCGATGGAAGAGAACTTAAGTCCAACTTAGGAAAATTAATTTTTATTATAAAATAAGGTGATGAATAACATTGTTAAGAGGAGAAATACCAACTTGCTGATATAATCTTGAAACTGGGATGCACGAGGGGAGGTGGGGGGAAGTCAGGGAACAAGTTTATGAAACGGGGATTGGTTGATTTTATACATGTTTTTGTCTTTTTCTTTTCTTTGTGTATGTTTTGTCTTTATAAAACCAGAAAACCAAATAAAAATTTTATTAAAAAAAAAAAAAAAACAAACACTCTGTGAGGTGAGTGGGGCTGAGAGACTTCAAGGAAGTGTGACTGGCCCAAGGTCACCCAGCAGCTGCATGTGGAGGAGCGGAGACGCGAACCCGGTTCCCCAGATTACGAGTCCACCGCTCTTAACCACTACTGGGGCTCCACCCAAACAAAGTGCACCGAAGTCTGATAACAAGCCCGATAAGAGGTCTTATATATGCTTACCCTGGAGAACAGAACAATGATTTAAAGCTGTGGGAGGATACCTCAATAGTACATACTGGGTGTCACAAGTCTATCAAATGCTTTTTTCAGGAAAACTCCCAACTATCATCAGTGGGGCTCACTCATTTACAAGTACAGTGGCCAGCTACAACTGTGGGCTTTACTTTCCAGAGGACTTCCAACAAAAGAGGACAAAATTGAGTATTGGGGTGGAATCTATAACCAGAGGGGGAAAAAATTTTGCAGCCTGGAGATGGACTTTGCATTTTGACAGTTCTATCATTTCCAGCAACAAGGGAATACAGTGGTACCTCTGGTTGTGGACAGGATCTGTTTCGGAGCTCCGGTCATATCATGAGGTTTCCACAACCGCATGCATGCGGTGCAGTACAGCGCTTCTGCGCATGCGGCGAAACCCGGAAAAATACTTCTGGGTTTGCCACATTCGCATCCAGAGGTACCACTGTAGACACTTGAGCTTCAATTGATACTTTTACCTAACACCAAGCAAAATTCATTTCTAGCTTTGGTGCTGTTGCTCTGTTCTCTGCCTTATAAGGAACCTGTGTGTTTTCCTTAAGGCATGGGGCAAATCTGGGTAAACAGCCTGATTTGGGTTTGGTTGGTTGTTGTTGCTTTTTAAAAAAAGGGAGGAACAACTATTGTTTCTCTATCACAAAATCCTAGATGTATAGCCAGGTTTCTGCAGCACCTATCAGAGCCTCAGTCTTAAAGTGAGACTACAAACTGACCTTGTGGATACAACACTCAATCTGACTTCTGTACTTTTTCATTTTCCTTGTGTTCCCCCTCCTACCACATTGTGTAACAAGTTCCCTGAGGCAACAATTTTGTTGCACTGACTGATCATTGGGGGGGGGGGGATAGAGAACTAATGCAAGTGTGTGCAAAATGGAAGGATTGAGACTCTGAATAGAAGTATTCTTCGTTGCTACATCTTGCTAAAGTGCCATGTTTCTTGAGTCAATAGTAAAGTCATTCTCTAAGTTCCTATCCTTATATAGTTAAAACACCATCCATACACGAGGGAAGTATCAGGAGGTTGGAGAACACCCCTTTGAAGAAGTGCGGAAAAAAGGGGGGGAAAGAAAAGCTAAGGGGGCAAACCCTACCACAATCCGGTGGAGACCAAGTATGCGCAATGGGCAAGGCATGTCAATTGCTGGGGAGAGGGTCAAAACCATGATCCCTGACCACTGGTCCTATTAGCTAGGGATGATGGGAGTTGTAGTCCCAAAACATCTGGAGGGCCGAGTTTGCCTATGCCTGGTCAAAACCAAAGAGGGAGGTAATAGAATGGAGTATTCTGTGTTTAGGCATAGCACTGCACACTGCAACCTTTTGTTGCAGGTTCCACTTGTATCTGGGACAAATGTTCAGCCCAGTTTTTTCAGCAATTTGAGGCTGAGACAGAAACAGCACAGTCTCAAAGCTTGTGTTTTCAGCAGGGATGGGAGTAAAATCCAATAATCACTTCAGGATACTTAGTGCTTTTGTTGTGAGCATATCTGAATATGTTCTGCCCACATTAGAGACTGTAAATTAACTCTACGGCCGATTTTGAGCATTCCATTTTAGAATCAATTTCTGACCCTTCTTGTAATATATCTTTGTTTTCTTTTGACTTTATGATGTATATCAACAGCTTTGAAGTGAATTATTGAATTTTATTTTGTTCCCATTACTTTCCTATTCTTATATTGTTTGGTTATGTTATTTGTAGAAGAAAAAACTTCTCTGGAGGGGGGGGATTTTGTGACATATTGGTTGGTCCTAATAAAGACATTTTCCAACTGTGGATTTTTTCCCTATGGAGCCAAACAGCAACCTTTCCTTTTAAAGTATACAATGTAAGTATACTTGTTCAGCTACTGTATATTTTCCCCAGGAGGCCCTAGGATTCATTAACAAAAGGCATTTTGTGCATTAATATTGGTTCAAAAAAAGTAAAGAATAATTTTAATTTGAAAAATTAATTTGAAAAAGTCAAGCTATGATTTATTTAATTTAAATCTCTTTTTCCATACTGCATTTAGAAGGTAATGGTTATCAAAACAGCTAACAATAAATAAATGATATGTAAAAAATATTCACAAGCTGGCTTTATGAATATAAAAGAGCCCTTATTCAAAAGCAGCTTGAACATTGGTATGCAATTTTAATTGGTCCATCTTGACTGGGCACCGCATGGCATTAGGTTGCATGGATTTGTATTCATATTTGCTGCTGTTTTCCACATCAGAGTTTCATGCAAATTCCAGTCTTCATTCCAGTCTAAGTGACAGGGAACTTCCTGTTTGTTTCAAGACGGAGCCTTCCCTCCCAACCACATAATAAACAGTGGATTATGTGGCACTGCAGACTCTCAGGGCATGCAAATGCCCTGTGACATGCACAACGTTCTACGCTGCCAAAAGGCTCTCAGCTTAAGTTAGCACTGGCCAAGGGAAATCAAATCAGCTTTCTGTTGTGCGGCAGTCTGCAGTTTAAGCTCCAGAGGAAAGAAGGCTGCTCTGCACTCTGCAAGCCTTTCTTCCTTCGCATGAGATGATAAGCTGTATTTTAATATTTTTTTTTTGGCTCTAACCTTTTACATTTTTTGTTCAAACCGGACGGTGGGAGTTCGGGTGGGAGCAGCTCTCAAACACGAAATATCCACTCTTCCATTTAAAACAGTGTCAGAATATAATACACCGCATAAATCTGTTACACTGAAATTATCACACATACAGGGCCCTGAACCAATGTGGAGTACTCCTGGCCAGTCTTCCAATGAGTCAGTCATGCACTCTTCCAGGATATTCCGTTAACACAGACACACCTTCTGCTTCCCCCTGAACTGGCACTCCATGGCTACTGTGCATGCTCCTCCTAACTGGGCTCTTAAGGGCAGTTGTTCTCCTGTTTTTTTCCTGAAGGGTTTTTCTTTTGTATTTCTGAAAATTTTGGCATTTCCCCAAGCCTGCTAATACCCCACTCTCATTTCTCAGAGGACCCATTTTTGCTACATTGCTGTTGGCACTCAGCACTTGGGTTCCCTACTAGACGAAAGAGAGAGAGAGAGAGAGAGAGAGAGAGAGAGAGAGAGATATAACTCTACAGTACTGATTCCATTTGATACTCCCTGGCAATGTAGTAGAAAAGTAGGGGCAGAGAATAGTTAGGAGAGAAGGCAACAAGAATGTAAAGGAAGAAAAGTGGACCTCCTATTGTTGCTAGAACATGGTTTTCTAACACTAATACTAATAACAATAACAATTTTATTATTTATACCCCACCCATCTGGCTGGGTTGTCCCAGCCACTCTGGGTGGCTTCCAACATATATAAAAACACAGTAAAACATCAAACATTAAAAACCTCCTGATACAGAAGTAAATGAGAGAACAACAGATACCATGACTTGCACTGTTCACTGGCATGGTTCATTACAAATCACTGACTTGTACTTACTTATAGTAGAGATCAAGTCTTGAAATCTTTCCTTAGGAAAGAGTGGATTTTCCAGTCCTCGGAAATACAGCTTTAAGACCCCAGCAACAGAATTAATGTCACGTTCATTTTGATCATCAGCAAGGGGATCTTCACCTGGGTGAATAAATAAAAAGTTTATACCATAAAATTCTACTTCTGGATTAGGCAGAAAACCCAGAGCACTTAATAAGCAAAGGGAAATATCAGAGTAATTCTTTCACCCAGTCATTTAATACAATATTGTTTTAAATGGCATGGCAGTATCTTATAACACATCAGAGGTTACTGACATCAGGATAATGTGGAGTCATAGAGAAAATTTTAAGCCATTTGATATTCTTTCAGCCTCCCTATTTTACAGATGATTCATGAAGATACTGAATTTTTCCATGTATAAGACAATGCTTTTTGCTATATTTATTTATTCAAAAATTTGGGGGGGGTATCTTATACACAATGGTGAATGCATAGTAGTTTTAAAAAACAACACTGCTTATATTCCCATGACTGCCGTGAAGAAGTTGTAGCCGCTGTCCTTTCCAGGTGCCCAGCTTGAGCGATCTCCCCCAAAAAGCTCAACAACTTTTCAGGTGCTGGTGGTCCACTGCTGCCCCCACACCCCACCCCAGGCACCATTGAGGGTTGCCATGATGGTGCCAGTGCTTTGAATTTTTAAATAAAATATCAAAGTTGTTCTGTTTGATGTTTAAAATACTGATTTCTTAATTTGGGGTTCCAAAAAATAAGGGTTTTGTTATACATGGGGGTGTCTTATTCACAGAAAAATATGGTAACTCTGCTCAGCGTGTAATATGCCCAATAGTTTAGAGTTTGGTCTTATGAAACAATAAAGACAACAAACAGAATTTCATCATAACTTGATTATAACATAGCTAAATATTATAGATACAGGGATGGAAGATAACTTAGTTCAGTCTGTATTTTTAAGCAAACTGACTTAATTTGTACCTTCTGAACTAAACACACATGGATTAGAGTGTAGTTATCCATCAGATTTTAAACTTCTCTGACTTTAGTATTTGCCTCCAAACACGCATTTAAAATATGTACCATAGGATAAAATATGACAGGAAAATGCACACTGAAGTATTTATCTTTCATTTGTGGATGTTAACATCTGGTCATATTTTATATTTCTGAAAGAAACTTGCCTAGAATGGAATAGATATTTATAACACTAATTTTATAACACTCATTTCCCAAGAACAAGAAAATACATTCAGCATAGGATCAAGACTTGTGTCTTCTTGGTTGGGCTGAATTCTGGCACTGAAAACAGCTTATGAGGCTTTCGCTTAAAAAAACTTGTGCTAGTAAAAGCTCAGTCTTAGGCTTTGAAAGATCCAGAGGTGAAACAGTATTCACATGTTGCAATCTGGGCTACAGCATTCTGCTATGTGGGAAATAGAATACAACAGATACTTGACTGTATCACCCTTTGCTAGAGCTTTTGCACTGCACTATAAGGTGGAAGGAAAACAACTTCACATCATTTTGTGAGAAACACAGACTTCTCACATACCTCTCTCAAATGAGTTCTTGATATCATTGACTTCAACCTGAGATCCAGGAACTCTAAAAATACCCTGTTGTTGAAGACCTGGACATAAAAGAAAGGCTTATTGCAGTATTTTGAATATCAGTCATTTATTTCAATTTAGAATATCAGTCATTTATTTCCATTGCAAACCGCCCTGAGAGCTCCGGGTATAGTGCAGTATATAAATTCTATTTATTATTATTATTATTATTATTATTATTATTATTATTATTGCTTAAAGAATAAAAATATAATTGAGAAAAGTGTAAATTAGGACTGATTTTCACTTCTAAATGCTCCAGTACTAGGGCAGACAACTGCAAGCTCAGATATTATCCGCAGTCCACCAAGGCTTACACCCAGCCTACAAACCAGTGAATGCACTGCTATGGTCTGGACAGCTGTTGTTTGGTGGGTGTCAGGGCGGGTGTTGAGAGCAGATCAGCAACAACTCACAAAGTGTCAGTGAAATTAATTCTTTATTCAAAGAAACAAAACAGCTCAGGCCTAGTGAGCACAGCAACTCTTCCCAGTATATCTTGCCCCAATGAGGCAGTTGCAAGGACTGAAGGTCCCCGCCTTCCCATAGCTCTCTATGCCTCCTCCCCCCTGGTCCTTCCCAAGTAATCTGAGACTCTGATGCCTTGTCTGTCTCTGCTCTACCCTCTTCACTTCCCTGTGAGTTAGGAGAGACTGGAGGGAGGGGAGCTGGTCGAAGCAGGAGGGGGAGACTCCCTGGATTCTGCAGCGGCCTGTGTCATCTCTGCCTCTTGGCCCCCTCTGTTCTGCAGCCTCCGCTTCTGCTTCTGGCCTGCTCTCTGCAGCCTCACTAAGTCCTGTTACCTCTTCAGCTTCTGACACACCCTCCTCCCAGTCTCCTCCCTCTTCTCCCTCTGACCACTCATCATCGTCCCACCACGAATCCTCTGGCTCTGAGCCTTCTTCCCTTGGGGGTTCCCCAGCTGGTGCCTCCCACCATTCCTCTGCATCCAGCCAGTCCATGGCAGCTGGTGGGGGAGAAAGAGAACTTTTCCCAACAGAGAAAACCTTGAATAAGCTGCATATGGTTAATGGGCCTTACATCACCTACCCTGCACTAGAACAATGCAGATACCTTATCATGATCTTGGATACACCGCAATAGATGGAAAGGCATCAGTTGATTTCTTTCACAAGTGTCTGGACTGAGGTGCACAAAAGCCAGGAAGAGCACATACAACCCAAGAATTTATCACACACAAAATGTTATTGTGTTGATGCTAAATCAATGCATAACAATAATTAAGACTCAGGCCCATATGATTAAGCAATGAAACAGGCATATCTGTTTGCATTTCAGGCAGAAGAAATTCTTGAACAGAGAGAGTTTCTTAGAAAAACTATAGCCAACGGGGAGCCTACCAAAAGAACTTACCATATAAGTTGATGTACCGAATGCAACTTTCGACCACAAGTGGAATAGCCTGTCCTGAATCCTTTGAAATAACAATCAAATAAAGAAAAATTGAGCATGCTGATTTGATGAAGTCAGTGCTATAGAAAACACATTCTAGCAAAGATTGCACAAAAAGTCTCAGGTTGGGAAAAGAGCACCATTAGTTTAATCATAAGGGTTAGCAATAAATTAAGAGAACAATCGCTGCAAGTTTTTGAAACAGCGCTTCACATATCCTACATACTGTCAGCTTTGAGAAAAATCATAAATTAGAAGCTGGTCCCTGGAATCAAGCTGATTTAGTCTGAAGCAACGTATGGGGTATTATGCAGCTGGATCATAACTATCACTTTACAGAAATGTAGCTATGAGCCAGGCCTTCTGTAAAAATGCACGATTGCTTGGTTGTACCATTCAAATGTTTTCAAACCAAGAACTGTTGCCTAGAGGCAAACATTTTTGAAATGCTAGCCTGAATCACAGAGGAAGGCAAGGGGAAAAGTTATCCTTGCATGAGTTTTGGCTTTCGTATCCATCACTAAAAACTTAATGTGAACTATAAGAGTGTAGTGTATTTTTGGCAAGGGATTACAATTGTTTCCCTTAAATTTAGATTATGCTCATATTATATAAACATATATGATTTTTTTTCCCCAGAAAGGGGGGGCCTCTTCTAGTAAATACCTGGTTTCTGGTTCGAGCATTCCTTCTTCCTCTGATAAGCAAACAAAGCAGCAAAGTAGGGAAAAAAGAAAAGGTTAAGCAAGAATAAGATCAGTTAAAGTAAGCACAACTTCCAGAGGCTATGAAAGCTCAAATGCAATGGCAGCTTAGAAGGATCTAGTTGGAGCTCCAACACCCCATATAACTGCTTAGTATGCAATCTCTTGTCCTCAGTGACCAACTTTCAGATTACTCTTATAATAATTTATTGCATTCTCCTCATCCCCATATTTAGTTCTTCCAACAGACCCCCCCCTCCTCAGACCTCCACATTCACAGGCATCAGCAAGACTATCTCACAGCCCTGCTGGCAAGAAAGTGAAGATTTTGCCTGTCAAGTTATGGGCATGCCTTAGTTGGCGCTTGGAAGTTTGTTTCTGTGGCACATTTCTTCCTCTTTGTGGGTGGTTTGGATTATTATTTTTTGCTGCTCTGGTTTAATTTTTATATGTGCATTGTTTTATATTTATACTTTAGTTTGACATTTTATAAGCTTCTTTGAAGGCCTTCTGTGTGGAAAACAATGTAAAGTATTAATATCAATCTATACATAAAGCAAGGCTGTATATTGTCCCCCTGCTTATTTAACTTATATGCAGAATTCATCATGCGAAAGGCTGGGCTGGATGAATCCCAAGCCGGAATTAAGATCGCCGGAAGAAATATCAACAACCTCAGATATGCAGATGACACAACCTTGATGGCAGAAAGTGAGGGGAAATTAAAGAACCTTTTAATGAGGGTGAAAGAGGAGAGCGCAAAATATGGTCTGAAGCTCAACATCAAAAAAACGAAGATCATGGCCACTGGTCCCATCACCTCCTGGCAAATAGAAGGGGAAGAAATGGAGGCAGTGAGAGATTTTATTTTCTTGGGCTCCATGATCACTGCAGATGGTGACAGCAGTCACGAAATTAAAAGACGCCTGCTCCTTGGGAGAAAGGCGATGGCAAATCTAGACAACATCTTAAAAAGTAGAGACATCACCTTACCAACAAAGGTCCGTATAGTTAAAGCCATGGTTTTCCCAGTAGTGATGTATGGAAGTGAGAGCTGGACCATAAAGAAGGCTGATTGCCGAAGAATTGATGCTTTTGAATTATGGTGCTGGAGGAGACTCTTGAGAGTCCCATGGACTGCAAGAAGATCAAACGCATCCATTCTTAAGGAAATCAGACCTGAGTGCTCACTGGAAGGACAGATCGTGAAGTTGAGGCTCCAATACTTTGGCCACCTCATGAGAAGAGAAGACTCCCTGGAAAAGACCTTGATGTTGGGAAAGATGGAGGGCACCAGGAGAAGGGGACGACAGAGGATGAGATGGTTGGATAGTGTTCTCGAAGCTACAAACATGAGCCTGACCAAACTGCGGGAGGTGGTGGAAGACAGGAGTGCCTGGCGTGCTCTGGTCCATGGGGTCACGAAGAGTCGGACACGACTAAACGACTAAACAACAACAACAATACATAAAGCAAACCTTTCATAATGGGTAGATATTTCTTTGTTGTTTCCTGTGGCTGAGACCCATAATGAATATACCTCAACTTTTTCTTTTTAAAAAAGGAGCATACTTTAGGATGTACTTAACCATCCATTTTGCCACCTGGGGCATAAGAAATACCGTATTTTTTGCTATATAAGACTCACTTTTTCCCTCCTAAAAAGTAAGGGGGAAAGTGTGTGCGTCTTATGGAGCGAATGCAGGCTACGCAGCTATCCCAGAAGCCAGAACAGCAAGAGGGATCACTGCTTTCACTGCATAGCGATCCCTCTTGCTGTTCTGACTTCTGAGATTCAGAATATTTTTTTTCTTGTTTTCCTCCTCCAAAAACTAGGTGCGTCTTGTGGTCTGGTGCGTTTTAGAGCGAAAAATACGGTAATCACAGGAGAACAAATAGAATTATCACCTCAGAGTAATATTTCTCTCTCTGGAGTTATTAAGAAAGCTCAGTTTAAATGGAGGCAAGCTTTCTTTTTCTTCTTACCCTGAAGCAGCCATTGCTTCTAGGAAAACATAGAGCTGCTCCTTTGGTTTGACACCGCAATCTTATTGCTTGAAAATTCACCACCACTAGTTTCCTTCAGGAATATCTTTACTGGAAGTGGGCCAATCCTTTTCAGATAGATTTCTAGTGGCATTAGTTCCTTTGGCGCAACACTGAATATGTTGATTTAATTAATATTAAAATATAAAGCTTAATGTAACTGGAATATTTTTTAAAAATACATTTGATAGCCCTACCATGTTTATAATCACTACAAGGAACCAGCTAAAAAGTAGTGGCTGGTCAGTTTCAGGTGTGGTTGGATGAAGCAAATTATCTTGGCCTATTTCATAGTGGTTCTAGAGTTTGTTTTTGTACTGGAATGGCATTTGTTTGCCCAAAGTGATGACTTTCATTAGGAGGCAGACTGGGGGAGTGCAACATTGCTTATTCTTCTTGATCTCTCAAGTGGCTTTTGATACTATTGGTGTCACTCTATGACTTGGAGGCCCTGTTATATGATAGTTCTGCACCTACTTACAGGGCCAGTTCCAGAAAGTCCTGTGTGTCAACCCACTGAAAACATCATATTCGTCACATAAAAAATAATCATGAGACTCTATCCTTGAAGGTATCCACAGTTTCACTTTTTAGGTGGCTGGTGGCTGAACATTATACATCTGAATGGTTTGAAGTGGTGGCAGTGTTAGATATTGGGGCATGCAGTAACAACATGTTGATCGGTGCATTGCTCTGGGAGTTGTGAAGCCCCCTCACACCAGATGGCTGAACTAGCACAAAATGGAGCTCTTCCATGCAAGGAGGGAGCCTGGCCAAAGTTGGCAAGACTCTTTCTGGTGCAGTTTGCTCAGAGGGATGATAGTGCAGGGTTGGGCACGGCTGCTGATGTGGCTCCTTCCACGGCTTTATTCAGCACATGGAGAGGGGTTGTGTCAACCCCTCAAAGGTGACTGGATGAATATGGCATAGGCAGTGGACCATGCAACAGGAAATTAATGGAAAAGGGTAGGTGGAGAATGAGGGCTTGAAGTCAAGCTAGAGGAGACAGGGATGACAAAAGGAACTTCCTTGAGTTCAGGTGGTACCATAAATAGGAAGTGGGCAGGGAAGAGGGAAAGCTAGGCATTAACAAGAAGGAAGGTAGCTCAAAGAAGTGGGGGAAACTCAACTGTGATGTCACATCCTGATTTTACTTATTCCACAAAGATCTCAGAGCAGCTTATATATGGGTCCTCACGTGGCCTTGCACTCAGACAGATTTAAAGGGTCACACCTAGTTAGTAGAATTGCATTGGAGGCCTTCACACTTCTCTCTGGGATTTACATTAGACCCTGTGGTGGCAAAGTCCTGAGAGCAGGACAAGCTCTTCGACTTGACTTGATTAATATGCACCATAGACTTTTATAGCTGTCCGCTCCCCATGTATATACACAAAATCAGAGACAAGACTACTGGAGTCAAGACTACTGGAGCCATTAAAAAAGCAATTTGCTCCTGTGCTGGAATAATAGTAATGGGAAAGCTAAAATGTGTTTCTCTTTGCAATAATCAGTACTGCTTTAAAGAATACAAATCTTTCTAAATTCCTAAATCAGCATCCTATTTTTAAGCTGTGCCTAAGGCATAAAACTGAATGCTGAATGGAGATTGACTCCAAAATGGCAGCAATTCTTTAGCCCACTCAAAGCTTCTATTTCCTCAATGTCTGTTACACCATAGCTCTTTCCAAATAGCAGCGAGATCAATGCATCTTCTTCTGTAGCACTCAGTGCAATCCCGGATGTTGTGCATATTAATCTTTTATGGGATGGAGTGGGGACGTAAAAATGAGCCTGCCAAATGCTTATTTAAAGACACGCACAACTTTGCTGAACAGTTTTAACACAACTCTATTAGGCTCATGTAAATAAAATACTGAAAATACCTAGCTTGTCATTCAGTTAGCCATACACAGGACAGGTATGCAGAAAGCTCCCGCCATCCCACTCAGTCCTTACAAACTGTGAGCCAAAGCTTGTTATTTCTTTTTTCTCACAGCCATTGGAGAACAAGTTGCTGAAATATTTATTATTATTATTATTATTATTATTATTATTATTATTATTATTATTATTATTTCCAGAGCTTTGCATCTCTTAGGTGGGCGGCACTGCCATTCTAAGAGAACAACGGAGGTGTTCATGATGTATTCTGGCACTTTTTTCCCTAGGAAAATAGCACTGACTTTATTATTCTTTAAAGGTGGACATCCAGAATTTTCCAGAAGTAGGGAGTAGGAAGGGCACCTCAACATGGGTCAAACTTTCTCCCCTCTGTCACTTTCCTTCAAAACAAACATTCAGGAGTTTTCTGCCTGTGGAATAAATCGTTGACTATACATTTTGTTTCTGCTAATAGCATCTTGCCTTTCTTAAATTACAAAGAGCCATATCAGCCTGAGCACCCTAATCTTTTAAGGATTTTTGTTTAACTCTGATCCACTGCAAATCTCTTTTAACGGAAGGCAGGCATGCTGCATTTAAATTCCAGGATGTTCATATAAGCAGCAGCTTATAAAACCTCGGTAGTTCTGCCTGCAGTGATAAGATATGGCAGATTGCAATTAGCATGCTGACAGGCACAAAGAGTGTTGGGCTTCCATACTGTTCCACAAGGGTCATTACACTTATCTCATCCCTCCCAGTTGACACAAATAGGAGTGATGTGCCTCACTATTGCAGTAAGGAGGAGCAACAGCCACCAATAGAAATTGTCACTGAGGCAGAGGCATACTAACCACTTTAATGGTGTGATGTGCAGTGCGTGGGAAAGGCCAGGTCCGAGAGAAGGAAACAGGTCAGCAGTTAGAAGAGAAAAAATGCTACCATTACATCCACAGTGTCCACAGATTCTCACTGTTAGACAGCAAGTACCTTAATGAATGTTTCCATATTGCCGTTAAAGAGTTTATGATTATAGACTGAGAGAGGCCTAGGTCTCCTCATTTTCTGTGGCTTAGGGGGAAGACATGGGGGCCTGAGAAAAATGGAACAAAAGAGATCAACAAAACATCAACTTGAATACAATGGCAGGGAAAGATTTCAAAGACTGCAAATAAAAAAGAGCTAGGAGGGGAAAGGTCACTGTGAGGACGAGTGCATTGGCTCCAACCATATTAGGTGACCATTACCACCTTGATATATTCCTCATATATCTGTCATTTTAAATATCAACGTGGGGAACCTAGGACATGGACTCACCTGTATCTCATGGGTACAATGCCAACTCTCCACACCGAAAGAAGAGGGGAGGATACAGGGCAAGAGAGAGCCAAGAAGCAACAATGGGTATGAAGACAGACAGGACAAGGAAGTGGGGGGAAGTAGAGACACAGGAGCTTGTCCATACTTTTATGGATAACTTGTAGTAAAACTCACTTGGGACTGTGGGTTGAGGTCAGCAATAGGCAAATGCTTTCTGCACTGAAAGAGGTTGTACTAGATGACCCTTCCCTTCCAACTCTACAATTCTATTATTCTATGTGTGCCCCAGTTTCTAGAGACCCAAGCCTTTGTCAGCTTGTCTTTTAATGTAGCATCTTTCATTTCCAAAGGGTCATCATCAGTTTTGCACACAGAATTTATTTATTATCGTACTTACCCATGCTGGCTGGGACTGCTGGGAGTCCAGCAACATGTGGCCCTTCAGATGTTCAGCAGTCCCAGACAGCATGGCCAATGGGTAAATATGGTGTCAGGTGTGGTCCAACAGTATCTGGAGGGCCACGGACATCTCCCTTCTGAACACAGTATGGCTGACTTTTCCTTTTCAACACTTCCCTGGGGGAGACCACTGGCATGGCCTAGCAATCCATTGCATAAAACAAACTCCTGACCTGGCAGGGACACATTCCTTACTCCCAGTGTAACTTTGGAAGCATTCAGTAAGCTTTGCCTAAGAGTGGGAGGAGGTGGCAGCCGCAGGCCCTAATACTCTGATTGAAAGACTTTACAGAAATTCTAACTATATAAACTTGTTGGAAGGCACTGGAACAATAATAGCAATGAACAGGCCTCTTTGGTGATAGAGGCCACAAGCAAGGTGGAAATGAACCGCTTTTGACAGCTGGAGAAGATGGTGCAAGGGTCTGCACTGGGTGCTGCCTCTATATGTGTGGAAGGAATACCCCTTGGAGAAAGATGGGGAAGCTGTGCATGTTCAGGTGTTTTATTGTGCCCTTAGTGCCCCTGAAGTTTAAATAGTTTGGATATTTTATCATGTATTTTTAAAACATAACCAACTCTAAGCAGGATAAAAACACTATGAGACAGAGTATACAGTTACGATTGCCAGGAATGTTGCAGTGCAGAAATAGATCTGTTCTTTTTAGGGGTAAATTCTGAATTTGGATTCAGTCCCACAGCCTACCACGGTTCAGGCATTTTAAGGTATTGTGCAAATTCTGTCCCATACGTGCCATTGTTATCCCTGGCTATAAAAGGACAGTCTCACTGAGAGAATATAAAGCGTTATACCTCTTTACAGAAGCTTGGAAATTAAAATTCATTTGCAGCCGATTAGAAAGGCTGTTTTTCTCACAGTCTGCACTGACCAGCATGATATGCAACCCAGTATTTCACATGCTTGGCTGGAAAAAGAGCTTCTCATGTGAAGGGGGCTACACTCTAACAGCCATCGATGCTAGCATTTGCAAAATTGTTTTCTCGATTTCTTCACTAGTACTGCAGTTTATTAAACACTGAGGCAGTGCTATATTAAAAAAAATGAGTTTGACAGCCCAGCTGTCCTGTATATCAGAGTCCTATATCCTACTGTTATACATCATGACAAAATTCTTGCAGCTAAGCTGAAAAGCAATTGCAGCATTTCTTTGGGAGTTCTTCAAGCAATGGAGAAAACCTCCCTCTCCGACCTCTACCTTCTTCCTCCTCAGCTAAAAGCATGCAACCATTTTAATGATTCTTCAAGACTGCGCCAAAATGACCGGCCTCAGCCCTGCAGGGTGTTATGCTGTGCAGACTTAAGAAAGCTGAAGGGTGAGCAGAAACTGCCTTTTGGTGCAAGGATAAAAATCTGTGCTCTGCGCAGCCCCTTGAGCAAAGTGAATTTCAGAGGTTCAGAGCTTGTTCTTCTACAGAAGTCATCTGTACAGAGCCATCGTCACTCAGGTCACAGAGTGACACATTCTTTTATGAAGCAGGCATCTGAAAAGCTAACCATTGAACCTAGCAGGTAAATATTTGGGGCAAAACTTCCTGTCCTCCACTGAAGCTTTTAAATCAGGGGGGGAAACCTCTAGGGGACACAGATGTCATGGCTCCCAACAGACCTGACAATAGCTGGTAACAACTGCAGCAATTACTCAGTCCTCTTTCTTTTGGAACCACACTGGTAGCAATGGAGCCTGGCAGGAAACAAGAACTGTAGCAGCACTACCTGCCTGTTCCAATGCAGGTACCACTAATCTGGCCAGGAAGTAACAAGAGCAAAACACTGCCTGTGTGGGACCGTCAAGAATCATCAGCACTATCAGCTTCTACAGATTTAACAGCTACAGCTTCTCTCAAGTATCCTTGAAAACTAGAGCACTGGCGCGTGGGTGGGGGCACTAGGGATCTCTTGACAAATCAGTATCAGCTCAGTTAAAAACACCACTGCAACCCCCAGATGCCCTTATAGGTAACTACAACAATTAAGTCAGTTTAAAACTGAGGGAAGTTTGTAATGTAAAAATTCTTGGAATGGGAAAGGATTATTGTAGTCACAGGGGAGAGTGTGGCAGGGGGAGAGACAGAGAGAGGAGTGAGTGAATTGAGATTATAGGATAAAATGATGGTGAGGGGAGGGGGTGAAAGACAGGGCAGCACACAGGGACAGTGCATTTCAAACCTCCCAACGTGTTGTTTTTTTGTAAATGCTCCTTACACTAAATAACTTTGGTCAACCTTATCATACAAAACACGCACACTTCTAAATATATGTATTTCACCTTGTTACACAATATATGTCCCTCCCTTCATCTCTCCCATTCAATCCTTCCCCAAGTGGCTTTTCATCGCCACTGCTTGCTGCTGCTGAATGATCTTTTCATTGCTTAACTGAATCAGGTTATGCTCTCTTGCCAATTTCTGTCAGCAGCTCTCCTTTCCTCGGTTTCCTAGGCTCTGCTTATCCTTCTGAAGCGACTTCTTTCCCTTCAAACGCCCTTAGATTTTTCCTCACTCTCCCTTACCACAATTATCCAATATTTACGTTTATTCTCAATGCCTATCCTTCCCTAATTTTTTGTTACGGAGAAGGGATCATTTAGGAGACACTCCATGCCAAAAGGTAAGAGGAGATCAATCCTAGAGCTGGATGGATTGATGGATATTCTGCCCCTGAATGAATATCGGCAAGCAAGGGAGGTCCTGGCAGTTAGGCCAATATGGCTGGTCAGTGTCATAAACAGACTAGAAATAAGCTCCAATATATCCATGGAGACACTGCAATGCACCGAGCTGACACAGCATTCCTCATGATTTCAGAGCCAGTCAGCTAAAAATTACACTGCAGGAAAAACAAGGGCCTGTTTGTCATATTTCTAATTAATCCATTTAGGGAATGCAGATAAGAGGAGGCCCCTGGAGCAGGGTGTTGCCCCTCCACAGCACAATGGCTAAAGGATTCCACCCCACCACACAAAAATCTGTTTATTGCAGATGCATTTTAAACCCAAGCAAATCCATCTTGCAGTAGCAATACCAACTAGTCTCCAGAATGCAATATTAAATTTATATATATAGTTTCCACTTACCTGGTTGTACCGCATTCAGCTCTTTCACCTAGGGTGGGGAAGAAATCACACATTAATTCCACCCTTGTTTACATAATATAAAAGTTCACAGCTATTTGGTATTTTTTTTAAATCGGGGGCAGGGGGAACTGTTTTAACGTTAATCAACAAGTTAACTGCTCATACATGGCGAGTGAGAAATTGCAAGGGTCTGAAGACATTACATTTTACTCATAAAACCTCAGTTTACAATTAATTTACATATTAGGGAGTGTATCCAACTAAGTTCTACTCAGAGTTGACCTACAGAAATTAATAAACTTAAATTGGTCTTCTCCATTAATTCCATTTCTACTCTGAGCAGGGAATAGTGTTCAATACAATCCCTTGACTGCCGAAAGCCATCTTACAAGTCAAGAACCATGTTGACTTGAGAGCATCTCTACACTTCCCTACTCCAATCAATTATCTCAGGATGATGCTCAGAGGCATTCGGAGCTTGTTTCTTTCTTGAATCATAATCTCAGACGTCAGCATTGCTCCTTGCATCTTTCCAATAGCAAGATTCAGACGCAGGGAGGATCATCTTTGTGGCTGCACAGAATCATAGAATTGTAGAGTTTGAGTGGGCCACAAGGGTCATCTAGTCCAACCCCCTGCAATGCACAAATATTTTGCCCAATGTGGGGCTCGAACCCACATCCCTGAGGTTAAGAGTCTCATGCTCTACCAACTGTGCTATCCAACTGCTGAAGACCTACTGTCTTCTAAAGCCATACAATATAGCTAGCTGGAGTTAAGGAGCCAGCTGGGGATGCAGTTGGTGAGGAGAGCAAATCTTTTAGCTGCATCTCTGGCTTTAGCATTTTGATTAGTATTATCTTCAGCTCTCTTATAGAGGCCTTTTCTGCCTTGAGCCTTCAGGGATGATGTTTGTTAAGAGCTTAAATAAATTATTAAAAGATCCAGGCAGCTAGCATAAATCGAACAGCTCTACTGTCAATGAAGTTTAGTCAATCTGCACCAGATAAAAGATCTGTGCCTCAATAGCTCTTATTTTTAGCAGTTAGAAGAGCGAGGGATAAGGGGTGGGGGGAGGGAGATAGGGACCACTATCCTTGGGAATCATGCAGAAGATTATCCCATCACCTCACTGAGGATATGCTACCAGCATGATAATTCAGGGCAGTATTTAGCGGACCAGCTTTTTCCTACAAGATAACTGCCCATTTGACTTTAACCAGACTCCCATGTTTGCTGTCTTTGCCCCTTCAAAGTATTTACAACATTTGGGTTCGACAGAAGGTGGTATGCCACCACATACTGTTAAAGTGTATGCCATTCCATTTATAACTCTGTAAACAGATTCCTCATTTTCTTTGTGGAATTTCATCTGTTTTTGTTTCAGGACCAAAACTGCCTTAAAAAATAAATAAATTTGTATTCTCCCCCTCTCTCTTAATCAATACAGTGGTACCTCGGGTTACATACACTTCAGGTTACATATGCTTCAAGTTACAGACTCCACTAACCCAGAAATATTACCTCGGGTTAAGAACTTTGCTTCAGGATGAGAACAGAAATCGTGTAGCGGTGGCAGCAGGAGGCCCAATTAGCTAAAGTGGTGCTTCAGGTTAAGAACAGTTTCAGGTTAAGAACAGACCTCCAGAACAAATTAAGTTCTTAACCCGAGGTACCACTGTATACGAAAGAAACATTTCTGGATGCAGATCATTTCTGATTTTGCAATCCTGTGCCCAAAGGGTCAACCTTAAAAGACTTGCAAGTTCTCTGTGTACACTTCCACTGGCAACATGAATTATGAAGAGGTGATTGTAGATAATAGTGAAAATAAGAAAACAGATGAAGTTGCCTTTGGACCACTGGCTCATCCAGCCTGATGTTCCTCCTCTAAATGCCCTAGCTAACCTGGCATCCTAAGCACAAGGTAATAGTTGACTCCATTGCTTATGAAGAACATGTTGTTCGAAATGTGATGGGCTATTTATTCCTCTTAAAAATAAATAATAAACCTCCAGCGTCACTTCAGACTGGCTCTCCTGTTGTATTTATTATTTTCAGAAGCTGCCTCTACTTTTAAAACATCTTTTTTAGCATGGAAAGTGTTGGACTAGGACCTAGGAGACCAGGGTTCAAATCCCTACTTGGCTGTGAAGCTCACCTGGATGTGGCCTTGGAGTAGTCACTGCCCCTCACCTAGCCTACCTCATAGAGTTGATGTGAGAATTAAATTAGGAGGGGGGAAATCATGTATGCCACCTTGAGCTCACTGGAGGAAAATAAATGCAATAAAAAAATTTTATGTTTAAATTGAAGGAGCAAAGAAATCTATTAAACAGTGGAAAGAATTTTCAGAATGAAGGATAATCAGGCAATGAAACATTTTTCCGTGTGAAGTTGCGGACAGGCTTCAAGATTGTTGAAAGATCTTTTGTGAGGCACCTGAAAGGGATGCTTGTGGTGACAGTGCCAAAAATAATCAACTACTCTGCCTTTTATCCTTATATGACTCATGGCTTTTGAATTTGAACTTCCAGGTCAGATAGTGAGTGAAAGCAGATAAAGGGAATTCAGAAAGACATGACGCAATTACTGGATGAAACCATGTAAGAATACTGCAATTTCGGATGAACTAATTAACAAATAAGCTAAAGTGCACAAAAGTGCAGTCCTAAAGCCTAGCTACAGCTTCACCTGGAAAGAAGGTATCATTTGTTATCTGGCCCATATGGAATATCCAAGATTGTGTTGGGAAACTGGTCAAGAGAGTAACGGCATGAGAGTTAAAGGAGCTGGGCCAAATCTAAGTCAGATGAAGGATCTTCATAAAAGAGAAAAGAGGAGCTAAGGTTAAAACTAGAGGTGACAAAATAGGCTCAAGACAGTGAGGGGCCTGGAAAAGCCACAAGCTGGCCCCAGAAGTAAATTTGTGTGTGTGTATAAATAAAGGTGTGAGTCATGAAAAACTGGTCCAGCAACCTGGTTAGCAGAGGCAGCTGACCATCATACTAATGATGCAGCTCTTGGTAAATAAATAAGAATACCTGGAGCCTTAGCTGGCCTATCTTGCTCTTGAGAACTGCTGAAGAATTTTTGCTAACTAGAAAGCTGACTAATAAAACATCCAATCACATCATGCATTGATTGATAGTGTTGTCTTAGCACTGTCAAAACCTTAGAGGCTTGTTGTCTGAACTAAGAGGAGAGTCCATATGGGTCAGGCTTCAACTAACTGCTAGCTCCGCCCTGTCTCATATGTTAAAAAGCTTGAATTTGGAATCAGCTGCTCTCAGATAAGCCTGGCAGCGTGCAGTGATTGATTATGCCTAATGAGACCTACTCCAATTTTAATATGAGACACAGACCAATCCACAGAAGGGGGTATAAAGAAACAGCCATTGTTCTAATAAGGCTGCATATGCTTGTAGGTTTACCAGCTCTGCAGTAGAGAGAAATTTCTAAGACAGAAGAGAAAGTATTGACACAATTTTTAAAAACAGTTTAAAGAACTGTGTATCAAATGCTGTCTCTTATGATGACTCAGGTCTTAAAATCATATTAACTTGGGAGAGGCAAATATCTATGGGATTAAAGCCAGCAAAATCCAATTAAGCTTTTACATGTTTATATCTGTGTTACAAGGGCTGCGGTATTAAAAGTAGATCAGAGGCAACTGATTCCAAACTTTAAGAAGTACATTCACTCCTAGTGTATGACAGCAAAATATAGCAATAAATCATCAGAAGCTTCTGCAAACTGGGCATCTCTAAAATGAGAAATAGTCCCTTGTTCACCAAGCAAAACTTTTAAAAAAGTCTCATGGGCTCCAGTTCAGCTCAGGTTCCAATTTATATTCAGGAAAGGACATAACTCAAGTAGGTATCTAAGGTTAAATGCATGATTTAAGGCAACCACTCTTCTTGAAGTATTTTTAAGGACACACTTGTGCAAAGTAGAGACTTTTTGAGGAGATGGCATTGTTGGGGGGGGCAGCATACAAAAGGGGTAAAATATGAGCCTCACAGATCCAGTGGTAGGAAATGACAGCTGTATTTTCTTGTACTAACCATTAATAAAACAAAGGGTCATGCAGCAGCTTACAAATTTATAAGGGGGTAAGCTTTTGTGGGTTACTAAGAGTCCTCTTCATCAACATTTGGGTGAGGACAGGAGTTAAAGCATGGGCTGCTAATGTAGTTTCTGTGGTCCCACAGAGACCGTCCCTAGCAGGTCTGAAAGCAGCATTCTTCTGAAACCATGTGGCGCTCATGTCAGTTTCTTTGGTTTGCAAATGGGACTGCCCACAGGCCTTTAAAGGTTGACAGACCTGACTTAAAAGCTCAGTCCCGAAGAGCTGAAAGCAACATGCTCCGGCCAGAATATGGCAGACCTATTCCCAAGTGAACAATCTCAATAGCAAACCAGAAGGAGAATAAATTGTAGCCTACAGCGTCCCTTTAAAAGTTGATTAAAACATTCATTAGGCATTCTTTTTGGCATCAAGGACAATAATTATCACCAGAGGAGAGAGGAAAGGGCAGCAAAGTGATCCACAGGCAGGCCCAAACCATCAGCTCCACTATGTTGATAGATGTGGAAAGTCTGGCCTACTTACACATGCCTTGAAACAGGCCAATTATTTCCCAAACTCTGCTGTCAGGTAAAAAGATGAATGCCTCTCACACATGAGACCACGCACAGCTGTACTGATAGCCTATGTTCCTCCCTTGCCTGCAGGACCTTCACACAACAAGCCAACTGAGGCCAAATGATTTGAGACAAGATGCTTCAAATCACTAGTAGCAAAAAAACTATTCTGGTAGAGAGGACCCAGCGCATTTTGACTCAAGTTACAAGAATTCCCCCTAGATATAAAATCCTCAGCTGTGAAAAACACAATGCCTTTTATTTTAATTCCACAGTTCAACATGACAGCTGTCAAAAGAAGAATGCCACAAATCACCCTGTCCATTGCACATGTAGAGTATGCAAAATATTGAAATGACCATCTAATTTTTTTATTGCCATTCAGTTATGATGCTGGAGAATATTTTGGAAAACTTTGTTCCAGATTATGGGTCTAAGCACCAGTGCTATCATTTCACTACTTTGGGCTTTTGGGGTTTCAAAAACAAAAACTTACAAAGTTTCTGAGGCAGGGGTAGGGGGGATCCTAGTCCATTCACCTTGATAGTATTTGCAAACGCAAACATCCTTTATCCAAATCATTTATTTGCCAAATGAAATGGATAATTGTTAACAAGAACACAGCTACGGGGGCTTGGTGTTTTCATTTTTCTTTTTCACTAAACAAAAAGCAGGCAAAGCAGGGATAATGGGGCTCATCCCTAATGCTGAGAGGCCTGCCTTACGCCCTGAGGAACCAAATCAACGCAATGGGGCATTCAAATGCCACTCTCAGCCAAAATTAAAAGTGAAAGGAGCAAAGATTTTCTGCCCCTCTTCTATTAAGCACGCCAGAATCACTAATCACAAATGCTGACTTAAGAAAAAAAACAATAGCAAGGGAGATTTAAGAAATCTAAGATCCAAATCTAAATCCTGTTGTGATTTAAACTGCAATATTTTTGTTTAGGCTCAGTTGAACTTACCTTCTCCCAGAGTCTGCTTCAGTAAGTCGTGTTTAGCCTGCAGCTTGGTAATAAGGTTGCTGCCATTCAAATACTCTTTAAATTTCTGAAGGGAGGAAACAAAAACAAAAACACTGCACACACAAAAGCATAGTGGGCAAAAAATATTAGCAAAATAAACTTTGAGGCATACATTTATTTCCCTGCGGTGCTGTTGCGAGTACCTTTCTGGAATGAAAGGATGTGTTGTATGCCTTAATGAACCAGACCTCAGTTGTAGATACAAAGATGGACCAAGGATTCAGTTGTCATTTGGGCCTTTTCTTTTTCCACAGTTTCAGTATCAGTCCTGTTGATCTTATTAAGCCAGAAACCTTTGTGTTGAGCCATGTGCTTGGGGTTAAGGCCTCAGATCACAAGAAGCTCAAAGACAGCAGTTCAAAGAAAGCTTTCTTTTGTCCAGCTTCTGGGAATGGCCTCAATAAGAAAAGAAATTTTGTGGGGGGGTGTGTCAGTGGGGTTCCTACAGAAAGGGTTCTACTTTCATGCAAACAGTGATAAAGCCAAGGCGGATTCTCACTGCATGAGGTCTGAGGGCTTGGCTGATCAGAAGCTTCTGCTGCGCTGATGGATTTCTTCTGAGTACGACTTTTATTTTGAGATTGCCTCATACCCAGTAATAGTGTCCTAGAGGCAAGTAACTTCACAGATGCCAAGAGAAGAGGAGGAAGATATGGGGCTGGAGGAAAGAAACAGGAAGATTCAAGAACTTAACATAAATGCGTCTTTGAAATTTCAGGATGCAAATCTCAGAAATCACTGAGTTTTAAATAGTAACATTTCTTAAATGTTACTTAAATGGAGTAGACTAGACAGTGTATCAGGATTCCCTGGTCCAAATCTCACTGCTGTCCTAAAGTTAACAAACAGCCTTAGGAAAGCCTCTTGATACTCAGCTATGCAGCTGCAAATGCAACGTTTTAAGTGCATTATACAAATGTGACACTAGATGGCGATGGTGAGCTATGGCAAATTCAATATATTTTTTCCAAACGTTTCTTTAAAAACCATTTTCGCAACTTTTTTTTTATATGTGCCTAGATTCCACCTCAGTCACAGACCTCTCTTCCAAGATACAGGGATAATTACAACGGATGGCTGCTGTAAAGGTGATGGAATAACATGCTTTGAACAATTAAAAGCATTATGAAAATACTGAGTATTATAAAGCTATGCAGTAACCAATGTGCATATGGGCTGGTTCAAACATCATAGCTGGAGGAGAGGACAGAGGGTGCAGAAAGAACTGTGGTTGGAGTGGGCTCCTTTTGCCATCCTTTGGACCCCCTGGGAAACCAAACAAACCTGCTGTACCTGGAACTGGTTGCGGAGAGTACAGCTGACTGGGGCACAGCCGTGGGCAGCCTGATAAAATACCACCAACCTTGGGCCTACCCATAAAAGCAAGCCCTGCCATGGAACAGTAAAGTCTTAACCAATCAAACCTTAGTTTAAAAACAAGCCGTACTTGGAACTGGACCAGTAAGTTGGATTCAAGGGTTAGAGGCCAACTTGCGCAACCCCTGCTTAGCTTCTCCTCCTCCTTCCCCTGCTGTCCCCTATGCCCACAAAGCATATCCAAAGGATCAGGCCCTCTAAAGAGGAGAGATGGAAAACTGATCTTGTGCCAGTGGAATTCCTGCTGGAGCAAGAGTTCTCTGCCTGACTTCAAACAAAGCCCCCAAGCCTTTGTACTGTAATAATGTAAAGCACAGCCACCACTGTTTGGGGAGCTGATGAGATTACAGGGAGAAAGAGGGGGGAAGAAAGAACTGTTGTACAACTAGCCTTCCATGTGTGTAACTGTTGGATACTACCCATTGCTAAATGGGATGTATTTAGGGGGGGGGAGTGATATTTATATCACATGGCACAATTTATCAGACATTTCTTGTGTTAGTTACAGATAGGTAGCCGTGTTGGTCTGCCATAGTCAAAACAAAAAAAATTCCTTCCAGTAGCACCTTAAAGACCAACTAAGTTAGTTCTTGGTATGAGCTTTCGTGTGCATGCACACTTCTTCAGATACACTGAAACAGAAGTGTATCTGAAGAAGTGTGTTAGTTTAACCATAAACTTGTGTTAGTTTAACCATAAACAAAATGAACTGATATGCGCTTCCTATACAGTTCTGCTTTGGTTTAACATGACTTGCACATAATAAGTTCTGTGCAAGTTTTACAGAAGACTGTAAAAAGTTTGTGAGGAAATTTTAATGACTCTCAGGTGAATCTCTAGTTCTAGGCTGGAGAAACTGGGCAGGACAGGGCCAGAAGAGTTTACATTGTTCTCCCATATGAACTATAGCAAATAGTCACTGTAGAAACTGAGGAAGGGTTTGACTTTAATTTTGTAGAACAAACGTTTTCCCTGATGTGAATTAAGGGATGATTAAACATTTTTCTTGATGCTCAGACTCCTAATCTTCAAAGCTCGCAACTAAGTTTTGAAAGCATGCGGTTTAAAAATTATTTTCAGTTGCTTTATTTTCTTAATCTTCTTCACAGCCATGGGGTCTAAACACATACCTAAAATTTGAAAATAAATAAGAACTGACATTTTATTTTTTTTAAAAAAACACCAAAATTCTGACAGCCCCATTGTAAAAGGGCTTCCAAGATGAGGTGAAAGGCTGATGAAATGGTACAACATTGCTATAGAGGGGGAAATGAGGGACTCTGTGCTTGAATGGCAAACTAGGGAGTAGTTGGTCTTTAAAACATCTTGTCTTAAAAGACTTTTTTAAAAAAATAGTTCTAAAGGGATAGTGGTTCAGGGAATCCTGGTTCTGTTGTTTCTCCCAGTGAGGTCAGAGATGTTACAATATGGATGCAATGCAACCGCGAGCAGCAGGTGGCTTGAAAGCAAAACATAATGGGAATGTTGGAACTGTTCCGTGGGAACAGAGGAAGAGTCTGTTTTCAGTGCAAAGCACCGGAAATAGCTCAGAGAGTGACCTGTACAGTAAGTACAGGAGGAGGAGTTTTCTCTCTCTTGTGATGGACTCTGATGAGAGAGGACGTGTTTCTCTGTAATGCTGCAAAGACAGAAATAAAGGCATGTAAATACATTTCTGTCTCTCTCTTTCCCCTGCCTGGGGGAGGGCAGGGAAGAGTGGTGTGTTCTTCTCACGTTTGAGGAGGATCACCGATCGAGACCTTGCCTGCATCTGCCGGGAATGCAGACAGGGAGGTCACCAGGAGATCATGCCGGGTGCCTGGAGAGTGGCCAGTTTCTCCCGAGAAGAGGAGATATGGCAAATCTTCTAAGCCTTTCTAAGGGTGAGCCATACATTAGTGCAACCACTCTACGTGGCTCCATATGGTGGGCTTCTTATTCCTTTCTGAACATCAGCCAAGCCCACTCCATGCACAGCACATCTAAATGGCCTACTTAAAATTTTCCAAGTTTTCAAACAAGTTTTCAACATAACACCAAGAGCTACTGTGAATGTATAAGAACAGACAAACTGGTTTACTGCATTCCTGTTCTTCCGTCTACAAATAAAGACCAGGACAGGCTATAGGTGAAAGTTGAACTCTGATTTACCAAAGTTGGAAAAGAGCGAGAGGCTGGCTTGTCTGGCTTTGTCACCTCGGTCCTTGAATATTCCCCTCCTCCACCCACTTCTACAGGGCAGGAGTTCTTTATAGAAGCGCTGCTTGTGTCATCATGTGAAAGTCACCCCTCCTCCAGATGAGACACAAACTTCGGTGATTCTGACAATTTCTGTTTCTCTCAGTTTCTCATTTCCCCCCCAATCTTAAGATCAGTTAGTTCTCCATTTCTCTACATCAGTTTGTGGTTTTTTAAAAAGTCCTCATGAAAATCCACCAGCATTTTAATACATTTCCCCCTTTATATGAATTTTTTGTATGTAATGTTGCCCAATATGCACATTTTTGCAAAGCAATTTCCCCTATTAAAATCCATTTTAATGTTATTTTTGTCAGAATATGGATTTTTACATAAACTTCACCCAAGTCTATGCATTTTTGTACACGTTACTTGGCTGGAGAAATGCAATGCAAAATCTGGAGCAGTGAAATTTTGGAGGAGGGCTATGTTGTGGTCAACATATTATTTCAGAAAGTACAAATTAGGTAGGTTCATCTCTGAATGAGAACTGAATTGATGTCTCCCTCATCCTAGACTCCCTACTGACTTTCTTAGAGCTAGCAATGTGAATGTGTATGTGGGGAATTGAGAGGTGTAGCTATTGGAATGCCAGCACACTCTATTGTCACAAAAATGTGACGTCCCTACAGTTAAAATGGGAAGGGGAGGGGAAGCTACTGCTCTGTAAGAGCCAGCCTTTTATTAGCAGTATATAGTTTATACCCGCCTTTTTCCCTGACAGGGGATAAGCCTTCTTATCTACTGCCTTTTTACCACACTGTGCTCAATATAGACATAAGATTATCCTCACAGTAAAATAGAACATTTCAGTTTCTTGTTGGTTGGCTCTCCTCTTGGCAATGTTTATTTTACTCATGTAAGTCTCTGAAGCAGCTGATTTGACCGACTCAGTGGAGCGACTATGCTGGAAGGCATCTGAGACATCAAAATCTTCCACTGTCAGCATGTCTTGCAATGTCTGCATAGTAGCATCCAATGTTTTTCGCACCTGCAGAAATTAAAGGCACAGGCGATTACGAGACAAAGTGAATTGCTGTGACACAGTTAGGTCACCGTCAGTACATGATCTTCGATACACCAAGCTAGTCTTATTTTTTGAACTTGAAAGATTTTCTAGGGAGGAAAAGATAATATAGGGTCCCCAGGATTAGATGCTTTTCTGTATGGATGAGCAATTTGTTCTGTACCTGAAACCACATTAGAAATGAATTTTTTAAGAGATTTCTAGATGCCAGTGACGATGACAATAGCACCCAACCAGGAAGCACTACAGGACACAGCACTATGAAGTTGTTACAGGAGTTTATAGCTACAGTGCTATAATGATAACATAACAGCTCCACACCCCAAGCATATCATCCTAGTCTGTATAAACTAGCAGGAACTGGTTTGGTGGTGTTCACCATCACCCAAACCACTCTGTGCCTTCCACTTTCAGGTGGCAGCTATAAAGAGCCTCTTTGTGACGTGCCCCATCTATAGTAGAGATTTGGTGCTTTCAAACAATGTAGCAAAACAAGTATTACAAAGCAAGCCACTGTGCCTGTTTCCTATCCGGAGTCATAGACCTGGCATGGTTTTATTGTGCTCTTCTGGTTAAATATATCATTCATATAACAGGATGCAGGATGACCACATGGATGATCAGACAATATTTATAATATACCGTATTTTTCGCCCTATAGGACGCAATTTTCCCCCTCCAAAAATGAAGGGGAAATGTTTGTGCGTCCTATGGGGCAAATGCAGGCTTCAGGAAGCTATCCGCAAGCCTTGGGAGCCCGCGGGAGTTCTCGCCGGGCTCCCTAGCCTTGCGGATAGCAGCCTGCATTCCGAAGCCTGAGGTGCGCTGAGCAGCGTGCCCCGGGCTTCGGACAGATATCCGCAAGCCTGGGGAGCCCGGCGGGAGTTCCCGCGGGCTCCCAAGGCTTGCGGATAGCAGCCTGTTCTGGGGGCTGGGGTCGGGGAAGCTTGGGCTTCCCCCGCCCCAGCCGCGCGCCTGGGGGGGATTTTTTTCTTTATTCCCCCCCCCCAAAAAAAAAACTAGGTGCGCCCTATGGTCCGGTGCGCCCTATAGGGCGAAAAATACGGTACTCAAAGACATTTTAGTACATTTATGTTGTTGGAGTGCTTCATGCAGGGGCAAGACCCTGAGGCACCAAAACCCACTACCCCCTCTTACTATTACAGGTACACACACACCCCACTTACGCGCGATCGGACTTGTGTGTGGCACGCAATACAAACCTGGTCTGCGTTCTCCAAGGGATCACAAGCCCTTGGATTGAAAAAAAGTATGCTTGTCCAATACAATTTAATTCTTTAGCCATCTCTGTTAGTTTAAAAGTCACCTTGCATAGAATTATTCGCATAAATGAATCAATAAAGCTTATTTACTTAAGGATTAAAGACAATTACAGCTCTCACCTCTTCATTTTCTATTTTGAGTGTGGCAAGTCTAGACTGCAGCTGGTGATATCGCATGAGCAACTCTGTCTGAACTGGCTGCTGGGCGCTCACTTGACATACCTGAAGGGACAACAGATAAGACTATGCAAATTCAAGAAGGATCAGAATATTGACAGGTATCAAAGAGCTAACACAATGAAGAATGCACATCCTCATGATAAAAATGTCCAAAAACTTTGGACTGATGGATATTAAAAACAAAAGACGGAGTACAGTGGTACCTCAGGTTACAAACGCTTGAGGTTACAAACACTTCGGGTTACAAACTCCGCTAACCCGGAAGTAGTACCTCAGGTTGCGAACTTTGCCCCAGGATGAGAATGGAAATCGCATGCTGGTGGCACGGCAGCAGCGGGAGGCTACATTAGGGAAAGCATGCCTCAAGTTAAGAATGGGTTAAGAATGGACCTCTAGAACAAATTAAGTTCGTAACCCAAGGTACCACTGTATTTAATTTTTAACTAGTAGTATAATCCTTCTATTGGGCTTGAAATATAACCTCACTCAGACACAGAATACTGAGCATAGTTGTTATTTATGGCAATGCAGCAAATCTGATCTATTGTTACGAAATCTATTTGTTTATAGTGTTGGATTATAAAAGAAATTTCTCAAAGCAAGGATCTGACTTAATTGCTGCTTAAAAGGCCTAAATATTAGTAACTCCTTAATGCATTATGTATGTAGTACCTACAGCAACTCCCACTATCAGTGCCGGAGTGAGCAAAGTGTTGCGTCTGAAGGGAAGCTGGAAACATACTGCAGTATGTCACACTGAAAGCATTTTCTACAATGGTGATAGCATTACCTCATCCCCCATATGAGGCTGGTATTCAAACTTTAGTGGAGGACAGAAGACTTGGTTGCACATATCCATGACTGTATGCTTGTCACTCCGTGCATCCAGGTTGTCTACAGCATTCTCAATGATGTCCAGGCCCTCGTGACGTGAGGTTTCTAGATTGTATTCAGCAGAAAGATATGTTCTGAACGCCCGTGCCAGGCTGGCATGGAATCCCAAGTCACAGCACTAAGGGAAAGGGAGAAACAGTCATTTGCTTCAACCGCAGAAGCTAGTAATTTCTCCTATATTCTGGCATAATGGCCTTTTACCTGCAGAAAACCCACATACAATATCTATTTCTTCTCCTTTATATTATTTCTAGAGCACCTATATAAAATGAGGTGTTGTCCAGAAAACAAAGAGAAAGACACAGGCCCTGCCTTCAGGCTTACACGCTAGGTTATACAAGACATGGCAAAAGGGCAGGTAAGCTGTGGGGAATGGTAAAAGTATGGAATCAAGGACACAATACAAACACTTATATGGGTAAATAATAAAAATGAGTGTCCACTTTCTGGTATGAATCAATCCTACGAATATCACAACAGAGGTTTCGTGTAGAAGCGACCTCCCAAAACTTTACCCTTTATCACTCATTGCTTGATCTAGGTTTTCCCTTCTCACATGCATTGATATATTTGATTAGCCACATTTTAAATCAAAGAAATGACATCAGTTGATCATAAATATATTAGGCAGAATTTTGTGGAATTCCCATGAAAGTTTGCATAGAATTGTATCCCTAATCAATAAATGGACTTCAAAAACACTCCAGGATTCAAAACAAATCCCTATTATCATAAAAGCTTACTATAGTACAGAAGATGCCCCTGTTGCCACATCTCTTGTGACTGAGCAGCTCCTCATGATTAATAAAATATTCCTGCATTATTCACCTTGGAGGGATATCTGATTTTTAATGTCTAACACAGAAACCTAATTTCTCCCTCCCATCCCAAATGCATAAACACAGGCAGTACCCAAATTTAACATAAAAGTGCAAACATTAAGTAATTTGATTACCTGCTACATCTTGGCTTACACTCAAGCAGGTAAAGCAAATCCTTCCATAAGATGGATATGGAAATCTAGAGGTACTATTCATCATAGAGTGGCAAGTCTATCAATGGCTGCAGGCCATTATGGCTAAATGTTACCTCCACGTTTGGTCGGAGTATGTCCCCAAACTACCATTTTCTGACAAAGGCAAGGGTGCCACCTCCTTTCTGTTTTCTTTGTATTTACGGGAGTGCTGTGTGGGTAGAATGACTGATGGACACTCACTAGTGAAATGGAGAGGGCGTACAACTTTTAAACTATTTACCAACTTATCCATTAAATAGTGCTGTACTTTATACCCAGACCAGTAGAACTGGGTCTGACTCACTGCACTCAGCTTACCTACCCAAGACTCAGTAATGCACACCAAGTCAGCTCTCTTATCCAAGATGAAATTGTGGATAAGCAAGGACTTACAGTGAACTGACCTAGCATTGCAAAGCAACACCACCGGTCACAGAACACCTAATCTAGTTAATGTTGGGAGAGCTCTGTGCCCTAAATTGAAAGTGGGCACTCTACCTTCCATAGGACAATGTGGGACTAGGACTCAGAATGAAGAGGAAGGTCGGTTTGCCTATAAGAGCAGCAGTGGTGGCCAGAAGAGCAGGAAAAATATCCAGGAAGAAATGGTAGCAAAGTTGCAGCTGGAGATAACTGCTTTTTTAACTCCATCGGAGAAGGCAAGAGCTGGAAGAAACTTCCAGCTGTTATGGCTGCCTGCATTGCCTGCCAGAAGAGAATCTGCTCCCTGTACTGAGGTGCGCTTGATGCCATACATTCCCTGAGTATGGGGATGTGTGAATTTGCTTCAAGCTTGCCAACCATTTACCATTCAGAAGGCAGTAGACAAGTCATCTTGTTGCAATAATCCTTCTACTCAGTACAATATTGACCAGTTTTAGCATTAATGCTTGAATCATGAAAGACAGAGCAATATAATTCCATGACCTTACATTGAATAATAAAAATGAGATGGTTGATGGAAACAAGAGAGAAGCAACACTTTGTTTTCCAAATATATCACAGAAAGCTGCCAAGAGTGCATTTCCTGAGCTCTTGACTGTCCTCTGATCTCTTGTTATTTTCAGTGCATGTTCACAAAAGGATTTTACAGCAGGATATTTTCTGCATTCCTAACTCAAAGTGAATATCAAAGCTCAGTTACTGCCATAAGCAACTCTAGCCAGAGACGACATCTCATCTTTACTGATGTGAAGAGACACCCCTCAATTCAAATTTAAATCATACCAAAGAGATGGATTTCTCTAACTGTGCAAAAAGAAGCAGCTCATGCATGTGTGCGTGCTCACACAGACACATACAATTCCCACTCTCAGGGATGTGGTGTCAACTTCTAGAAGATTTCAAAAGACAGCAGAAGTCAAGCTTTCAACAACTAATTTATGACACAAGCAAAAATCTAGTTGGTGTCCCTTGGTTTAACTATGAATTAGCCTCCATGAAGCCAGATTATCACCACTGCCTTGGAGGGGGTTCGGCTAGATGACCCTTGGCACCCCTTCCAATTTTACAATGTTATTATCCAATGATTCACTCCAGGTTACCAAACATTGGGCTCCTTTTTGAAAATGAACCAAAGCACAGAGGAAGTAATTTTAGATATGAACTGATGCAATTCTACTAAATTTGAGATTTTTAATTCAGCCACTGCCTGCTCCCAAAGATCAACATTGTGTTCCACTGCTCCAAAAATATGCTCAGGCCAGAACAGTGGCAAACTTTCAGAGGAAAGGAGTTCCACTGCATATGACAGAGCCCCAGGAACATGTCCTAACACACCCTTTCTATACTAATTTAATGCACTGGAGCAAAGTTATGGGTTGTAACAATTAACAAGGAAGGCAAAGGAAACATTTGAAAGGTCCAAGTCCTTTAGGAATTTTATATTTTCCTATATAGCTATTGCAGAGTCTGGCATACTAGTGGAATTTACTCTCCGAGCACCTCAGGAAATAAGATGCAACCAGAGTTCAGCACTAAGTGCATCCTCCAAACAAACAAAAGGTTTACATATGCTCGTAGAGTGTATTCTAAAAGTACTGGTCAAAAATTATATCCAAATGTTTCTACAAAAGATATTCAAATTACCATTGCTTTAGCCAAGCTGAGCAGCGATCTGAATGGAAATTTGTTGACTGCTATGTCTCAAATCTAGTACCTGAGGCTAAAAGGCTCAAACTACAATCTGTGTGTGAATCTGCAGCAGCAATAACAAAAGCAACTCAGGAAGGTGGCACAATAGTTCCAGGAGAAGCTGTGATACTCTGTTGAAGCTCTCACAGTGCCACACTTTGGAAGCAAATGAACAGGTTCCCCCTCTTCCAAGAGGAGCAGGCCACAAAAGTCTCACAAAGAGAAGAGGTCCTGGAAACAGCGGCCATCACCCTAGTCTCTCACTCTAGACTTGCTGTTGATGGGCACAAATCAAGGTGGATGCTACTTCCTCAGGCTGTCCACAGCTGAGTTTCCCAGGGGGTCCCTTCCAGTCAAAGCTCTTTCTTCACCCTCTGTCCTCTTCTCCTCCTCCTCCAGCTTTTCCAGACATGACATGGGAGATCTAGGGTCAGGCTCTCCTACATTTCATATACAGTGTTAATTGCAGCCACAGGGGGAAGGCGGAGTCAGATGAAGATACTGGATGAGGATGCTTATCAGCGCTCCTATACCTGTTTCTCAATTAACACACACATCACACATAGCAATTTAGGGACAGTAGCTTAATTAGGAAAATGCACAGAGAAAGGGTCCAGTCTGGCTCTTGCATTCACACAGCTTCTATTCTGGGTGATTATATCTGCGTCTCTGTATCTGGCATACTGTGAACTCCTGCAACTCAGGATGCCACATTTTACTGTCACATCCTGTTGCCAGCTCTTCCCCAAGCCTGCTGCTCAAGGCTCAAGGCTTCAGCTGCAAATAGTCTGTGCGCCAGGGCCCTGATGGAGGAAACGCTGTTCAGTGTTGAAGGTGAGACATGGGAGGCCCTCAACTGCAAATGGACAGCCTCTGCCTGACAGCAGCCTGCCTCACAGAAAGGGAGCCGGGGAGGGAGAGCAGGAGAGTTGTAACAACACTCTGTGAGAGATCAGTGCAATGACTCTTTTAAAACCTTCTCATAAAAAGTTTGCACCGAAGGGAGAATTCAGTAAGTTTGCACTTAAATGCAAACTGAACCAAATCTCTCCCCCACCCAATTCCTATGTGTGACCAGCATGAGTATAATTCTTTCTGACTCCAGGAGGTGACAAAATAAGTTGTACTAAGGCAGGGGGAGGTGTGTCTCTTGTGCTTCTTTTAGCTAATCTGGGCAAAAGGACTCCTATTGGGAATTCCCCCCGAACCTTCTGTGGTTCCATTTCGCGGCAGTGGGGTGCAGTGAGGCCAAGACATGCTTCCTAATACAGCTGCCAGTTTCACCCCACTATGAGAAGGAAACAACCACTTTCAAAGTCCCAAACTCACTTTATGGAAAATGTGAAGCAGCCATTGAGGGGTGTAAAGAGATTTAATCTGGCAGAGCTTTTAGCATTCCTTCCTAACACTCTATACAGAAACAGAATGAAATTAGAAAACAAGCAATATGCACAGGGGCCTAAATAAATCCCTCAGGTAGCCTGGGAACACTTGTAGAAGAATAACTAAAACCAGGACGCTGAGCTTGCAGGACAGCAGCTTATCTCCAGGATAATGATTGTGTTTCAATGTTCTCACTGTAGTCAATATCAGAAACTCTGATGGCTTCCACTGAACCATAGTACATCCTCAGTTCACACTGGGGGTTAGGATGAACTTGAACCAGTCTGAATCTTCTCCCAAGACTTTCGGGAAATGTCACACTTGCATTTCACCTGCATTGCACAGAAGAATTCTGAAATGCTGCTCCTTATTTTCCTTGCTGGAAACATGCTGAAACCAGCATGTGCAGTGTAGTTCAAATAACCCAGCTGCTATTGACATGTAGGGCAGTAGCCTGACTAACATTATTTTTTACAGCTGCTTTGGTCTCTGGCTATTAGCACCATGCCTAGCACGTCACACTTCAGTGCCGCAAAGAGGGGAGAAAAGATGCAGGAAAAGGTATTTTTTAAAAATACCCATTTAAG